TATAGTTTTGATAAGAGTACTAATAGGACAGTACACGCGTCATGCTTGTGATTGGACAGTGTAATAGGACAGTTTACGCGTCATGCTTGTAATTGGACAGTGTAATAGGACAGTTTACGCGTCATGCCTGCAATTGGACAGTGTAATAGGACAGTTAAAGGGACAGTTCATACGTCATGCCTGTGTAAGTGGACAGAACGCGTCATGTGCGCGCGCTAATGTCTCGCATTTCGCCGAGTTAACTGATTTTTTTTTTTTATGAAAACGTATAGCCGATGTTTAGTTTCTTTCTCAAATTTTGTCATAGTTTTGATTAACTGGTAACAGGACTGAGTGGAGTCCAATTTGGTCTGTAATCATACTCGTGATTAACAAATCAGACTCCCACTTCGCGCTTGTCCGATTTTGTTAATCACTCGTATGATTACAGACCGAATTGGACTCCATACGGTCCTGTTACTATTTATGAATAAAGTTAAGAGAATCCCCAGTGTGCGAGACACTACCGTAATAATCGAGCTAAAGAAAATACTTAGAGTGCCCGTGGAAGTAACGTAACAATTGAGCTGAACAAACTCCTGAGTGCGCAAAACACTAAAGCAATAATCAACGAAAGACATTAGCACAGTGCACAAGACACTAACGCAACAATCGAACTAAAAAGAATCCTTTTAGTGTGCAAGATGCTAACGAAACAATCAAACTAAGGAAAATTTTCAAAGTGTACAAAATACTTGCAACATATTCGAACAAAAGAGAATCCTTAGAGTGCGCGAGACACAAACGAAACAGTCAAACTAAAGAGATTTTCAGAGTGCGCGAGACACTAACGAAAAAATGAACTAAAGAGAATCCTTTGAGTGCGCGAGACAAATAAGAAACAATCAAAATACTACAATCAATAAGCGTAAAGACGTTGTGTGAAATGAACATTCTCTTATCGCTGGTTCTTAAGCTACGTTACTTATGTTCCTTACCTGGAGGAATGTTCTTTTTGGGCACAATGGAATCAGAACGTCATGTAGAAAAGCGTTAGAAAAAGACATAACGATGTCGGAATAGACAATTCTCCTGCCTGTCAAACAGCCAGCCAGTCAGGCAGCCAGCCAATCAGCCTGCAAGCTTGTCAGTAAACTAGCGAGGCAGCCAGCCACTCGGCTGGCCAGTCAGTCGGTCAGTCAGTCAGTCTAGCTGTCAGTCAAACAGCCAGCCAGTCGATCCTTCAGTCAGTCTGTCATTGTATTAGAAACTAAATGACTTACATGAGCTCCAAGAAGACAGGCCTTGTGCCAATTCACATCTTGACTCAGTTTATTCATGTGCGAGGACAGGCACACAGGCACACACCAACCATCACCCTCAATAAGAATAGCTATAAGCCACATGGCCAATTGGAGGTTTGAGCCCTTTATATAAAGTCCTATCATACATAAATAGTAAACAGAGGATATTACATGGCCGCGTGGTGAAATTTCAAAAGAACTGGCCGCGCACCTGAGCAGGAAGCTCTCTTGTCATTGGCTAATCATGTTAGTAACCATGGCGACACCAATGTCCTCACCCGTGAAAGATAAAAATAGTATCTTCACTGCCGCGATGAAGGTATGATTTTTTAGTAAGAGGAAAAATTCTGGTATTTCATCAGTATCTATATAATAAAAATTAATATTTAATGTGTAAATATATTATCTGAATCTACAAGCCTCTCAATTAGTACTAAAATGATACTGTGAGGGGAAGGGAGGAGACAAAGATATCAGCAATACTCTAGACACTTTTTCAAATACATGTTATGATGAGCATCAAATGGCTCAAGTTGGCAGCCCAACGCTATTTTGATAAAGTTCCAAAGGACATGAAATGCATAAAATCCAATACATAAAATCCTGCAGCTCAGCAAGAACTATAAAGACCCAGACAACTAGGTCTGGAAACATGCAAAACCCACAAAAGCAAGGGCCCCCAAAACTTAAACTTCAAAAATACCCACAAACCGAAAAAAAATTAAGACCCATAAAAATCAAAAATCCGAAAAACATGAAGCCTCAAAATACCAGAGAGATTCTTAACTTGTGACCCTAAATAAAAAACAACCCAAAAGTGACTTGGACTTAAAATAGTAAAACACTGAATTCTTCCACCTGGGAAAATAAATGTAATAATGAGCATAGATTGGTTCAAGTTGGCAACCAACCTCTAATGAGATAAAGGCCCAAAGAATATGAAATGCATAAAATGCAATTCAAATGTGATGGCATGATGCCCACACCAGTAATGGTACTTAAAAATTTTTAACACAGGTCAACCACCCTCATCCTTTAATACAATCTCCTCAGTAATAAATATCCTCTGCACCAAATGTACCAGACTGCATAAAATGCAAAGCCACTACAGCTAAGATACATAAAAAAGGTCGGTTTAAAGGAAAATCACAATCATTTAATCATAATCAAAATAATTTATCATTGGTAATTAATTAAATGATTGATTAATCATATGATAAATTATGTCAACTTTCCATACTCAGTGCTAGTAGAGATGAGTTTTTACACACACACAACATTGTAAAAGTGATTTAAGAGAGCTGATGGAATAGGGAGAGACCAATAGATGACTAATGACAAATATATGCAAGCACAAGATAATTTAATCCCTTGTGCATAAGCAATAAACTTTGATAATAGTTTGCTACTCCACAAGGAGCCAGTGTAAGTACATAAAAATTGCACCTAAACCCTTTGGTAACAAAGCACACAGACTTAAAACTCCTGAATCTGAGCAATTTCAAAATGGATATAGTAAAGTGGTTCTGAACTTCATATTGTGCAATTTTGGTGAGAAATCATAGCTGTGATTTCAAATCACACATTTGATTCCAGATCAAATTGCACTCCACTCAGTTTACATTACCATTATAAATCCTGATTGTAACAACTGGGTATCACAGTAGGATATGGAATTCGTGTGTTTGTTCATGGAACACACACTTAGTTTCCTTGCTAGAAATCTCAAAGATGTGAAAATATTGAGGGACCACAGCCAGTATAAGACATGGTAAAAATTTTAAGAACAATCTCTGACTAAAAAAAATTGAAAAAATTATGAGCTTTTTACTGCCTGAACTACAGTCTTAGACAAGCAAAATGTGAGGGACAAAAGCAGAAAAAAATTAGAATAAAAAAGCGTGAAATTGTGAAATAATGCAATGTTTGTTAAAAAATGTTATGCTCTAATCACCCTGAAACGAATATTAAATACTTTGTAGTAAATCTTAAGTAAACAGAACAAACAGTTCCAGATGCAAGCATCTCATTTATTGAAGTTGGTGAGCATTTAATGGTTACAATATAACACTGAGAAGATAAATACTCCTACAGTTCACATCAAAGTTCATATGCAGAAAGAAAAAAAGTGGGTGTAAGAGATGCCTTTGAATGGTGCTGAATAACTTGCAATATCTTAAAATAGCAAAATGCATCCCACAAGACTTCCTACAGCTTAATCATTACCAGAGCATTCATGGATAAATTCCTTATATACATACACACAAAACACACTTGTTAATCATTCTGAAACATTACAAAATACATTTTCCACTGGCATTTCATGTAACACAGGAAAAAGAAAAAACAGAAATAAGATTAATTTTTTAGAAGTGAACAAGGCTTTCTGATTAAACAGATGAAGACCAAATTTAACTTCCAAAATTTTCTTGATGCAACCAAAAGCCAATAAGTCATCAAACCAAGCAAATTACATTGTTACTAATTATTAAATGGTATCAACTCAAAACATTCCTCAAGTTGTTTCTTTCAAGGTCATAACTGACAATCCTCAAGTAACACGTTTCATACATGCTCTTAGCTTTATCTTTTTTCCCTTCAAAGAATAATTATTTTTTAGCTTTCCAGTATAGGTCACCAAGCTCGTTCAAGAGCTAAAGACCATTGCACCTCTTTACCTGGTCCCTGAATTGAAAACAATACCCTGTTCTCAGAATGTGTGCACACTCATTTCCCTGATTATGTGATTTTTTTTATGCCTACTACAGAATGCACGATGCAAAACTGAGGAATCACTTTAAACAGATAATTGGATAACCCTGTTCCAATTGCCTATGTACCAGAGGGATTACGCGAATTGCCACCCACTGATTCAAGTGTTTTGATGAGGGGACAACAGTTTAATAAAGTGGTATAACTTCATCAAAATAAACTTAATAAAAACTAGCAGTTTTTGCACAGTATGACTTGAAGCATTAAAAACACTTTGGGGAGAGTTTGGCCTTATCCTGTAGTTGTGACCTAAAGGTATTGCATGCAGGTTAGTTTTGGATAACACTAAAATAAATTTCCACAGACCAAAAATTTTATTGCATTAATTTGAAGTGCCAAGTACTGATTTTTGCCTATGAAGTTGGCTATGTATTTTTCTCCCCTGAAAGCAGTAAAAAAAAAGTGAATTAACAATTCTTTCAAAATTTATTTTGCAGTACAATTGGACAATTTGTCATTTAATCATTCAGTTAACCTGTACTCTTTCTTCCTATATCATCTTTGATCAATTTTTTTTCTTTTTGAGTATTATTTCATTCTAAACTTTTGAGCAGTTTCATGCTGGCTATAGTATAAAGAAGACAAAAGATCAAGCTATCAGTTATATGGATATACATGTAAGAAGCTCAGTACATAATGGCATAGAAGAGTATACTGAGAAGATAACGAAGCAGAATCTTGCCTGTTTATTCATCTTCAGGACCATTTTTATCAGACATTGTGGAAACTTTTTGATGCGGCAAACTGTGGGAAAAGAAGTCATTAACAAAAGGAGTGCACCAAAAGGAGTAAATGATATTTAAAGTGGGCATAAAAATTTCACAAAGGTGTATGATTACTGCTCTATAGTGTGTCAAATGTAAATTTTTGTTTATGGTAGTTCCTTTTTTTGTCTAAATGTAGTTGTGATTAAATTTAATTGTAACTACATGAATTGAAACTTACTCTTTTACAATCACCTCCAACATGTAGTCAACTAAGACTTTGGTATGCTGTGAGTTCCATGAAATATAAGAGATAATTTGTCACTTAAATGATGTGATTCACCTTCTTAAATAGCTGTAGTTGACAAGACCTAGAGAGGAAAGTTGTTTTTTAGATTTAGTTTGTAATGTCAATTTATAAGCTTTTAGAAAATGATCAAATGAATACACATTTAACCCTTTAACCCCCATGAGTGACCAGGACAGAATTTCTCCTTACAATATCAATACAATATCAACCAGATAAGTGATGAGAAAAACATCAATTTGGGGATAATAAGTTGATCCAATACTAAATTCTCAGAACTAACATTATATGAATTGTATGGTTGACAGTAAGGAGGATTACAAATTTGATCTGGGAGTTAAAGGGTAAAGGTTTTAAACTACCCTGAATTAGGTTTTTCACTATACCAAAAGTTCACTTTAGATTTTAAAGAATATTGTCAAGCTCTATAATCTCATTGATTGGAACATTTTAATTTGATGTATTTGATTGAGTATCAATACAGGTATAGTGTTACAAGTGTGATGAAGTTCTAAGGTCTAGATAAATGCTATGACAGTGATAAGGAAGCAGTATGCATTGTATTTTCTATTTGAAATATTTGAAAAGTGTTACCATTATTTAGCTTTATTGGTAATGTTAAATTCTAGGAATCAATTTAAAAAAATTTCACTTACCATGGCTGGTGATTTATGTAATAGATTGCCAATCCAATCCTGTCACATCTTGATGGTGAATAAATTCTGAATCATGACAAGCAATGATTCTTTGATTTCTTGGAATTGACCTGGCAATGAATTGAAAGAATTTGATAACATTTGCATATCTCAACATCTATAGGATGCAATGGCTGCCGTTTCGATGAAATGTTGAAACGACTTGTCATGATTCCACCAGTAATTCATAAAAAATGTTTTTGAAAGTTATTAAGATGTGAATAATTAACTTGATTCTGGCCTGAGATCGTGACAACTCTGTCTTAAGAATTTTAAATCAATAAGAGAGATGCCACTCAATCAAGGAGGTGGCTATATCAACTGGTAACCCTACATCTTGTTTACCGGTACTTTTATTTGGCACCAAAATATTTTTCAGTTTTTGTTTAAAAAATTTAATTGTTTCCTATAATTTATTAAGTGTTTAAGTGTCTTCAGCTTTGCACGAGATTTTTGTGTCACAGAAAACTTTAATGTGCAAATCGACCCAGTTATTGAATGAGTGACTTGTTAAAGACCTTGTCTCCAGGTCACTGTTTCTCTTGCACCTCTTTACCTGGTGAAAGGTTGATTCCTTGATTATTTGTTCTTTAATGTTATGTCTTTATTGTATGTTTAGGTTAAAGCTGTCAAGGTAAAAAAAAGATCATGGACTTGTCTAAATATTACACTGATCAAGTATATGTGAACGCAGATAAGTGTCTAGGGCCTATTGACAGTCATGCCAAAGTAGCTCACATTCAGATGGGGGTGTCAGAAAACACTGGAAAAAAAGCTCATTACTCTTATTTATTTCTTTGGGATCCAATGGCTTCTTGTTTGCTACTCCACATACATTGCAGCCTTGGAGCTCAGATAGCTCAAACATATGCCATACCAGTTGAACAGCCAAAGTTCTTTGCCAACATTGCCTTAGACCAGAGTGTCAGGGTTTCATGAACACCAAAGGGATTTACTGTGAATGGTGTTACACCTACAGCTTTATCTGTTTCCAGAGAGGGTTTATATACTTCCATCACTGCCGGGCTGTGCTTAGAATGATGTGGGAAGGTTCTGGTGACTGAGCTGGATGAGTCTCCCCAGTGCTACAAAGAACGGCAATTAGACTGTCTATAAGCTCGAGGATTTTTCTGAGGTTCTGTTGGATCTTTGCAGAGTCTTCCCTCCTGGCAGGCTGTTTTGTACTGCATAATAAGGTCTTCATCGCTGTAGCCACATCAAACAGAATATGGGAAACAGCTCTCTTGTGCATGGGAGAGCTGACAAGCACAGGTCAGACTAATAGAGAACTGTACACTGGATTTGTATTCACTGGGCTGACTGGTGTGCAAATGGCAATGATGGATTCGGAGATAGACAAACGCATGATGATGAAGGTAACAGTGCATGAACAGAGTGCCCATTGTTTGTTTTTTGTACTGATTCAACACATTTTTTTATCTCAAACCTCAGTGCCAACACTGATTTTATTCAAAGAAGATCCTTTTATTCACCAATAGAGTTGACTTTTCTTGTCAGTAAAGGGCTATTGTGTTTATATGATAAACAAAATAATACATGGTTTCTTGCAGATATGAAATTTCTCCTCTGCTTTTCAACTCAACATTTCTTTCATTTGCTGTATTCATTTGTGAGCTATTGAGTTGAACACTCGAAAAGAAATTCCATATCTACGCACGCCCATGTATTATTTTCTATGTAATACTGCTAATGCTGAAGCTTAGCTAGGTTTATGGTTAATCTGCATCTAACCATGCATAAACTTTTGTGTAGAACCATTGCTAAAATATACTTACAAACCACTCTAGAGGATCCCTCTAAATAAATCTGCCCAAAAGCGACATAATACGGCCCCAGTCTCGAAATGCACTTTATGCAGCAAATACATTTGAACTGCGTAAAATCTCGAAATGACTTATACAACAAAGATCGAACGCACTTTACTAATAATGTTTGATTACTCCTGGTAAGAATTGTTTGAATCTAAAAAAAATTAATGTAAGCAACGTGTATACATATGTTTTTTGGTGTAACTTAGCTCACCTCTAATAGCATCTTTGTATCATATATTGTGACGCTGTCGCCTGGCTAAATTGGAAACAGTGCGAGAGGGATTTGTTCCCAGCGCGAAGCTAGGCGGCCATTTTTGCGATTCGTGTCCAGAAAGGCCATTAATATAAGGCATGACATATGTTTTGCTTAACAGGCACAAACATCATCAATTCCCTGCGACAACGAATCCCAACAACGGAGTTCAACCTCCTTCCACGTACACTTCGAGGTCGTCGCCATGTTCAATTCGATTCCACTAGTACCCAGTTTCTCAGTTTGCGCGAAAAACGCGGGAAGCACAGGATTCCCAAGGACATCGTGAGCTTGGGTGGTAGCCTGCCTACCTAGCGGTTTTTCGGGGAGGTCGATGAAGCGGCAGAGCCACCTGATTGCAGTAGTAAGTCAATTAAAAAAAAAAACTGTACGAAAATTAGCAAAATTTGCACGAGATTTAAGAACAAAACCTTCTTACGAAGGCGCGCGGTCGCTGCTAACCACGTTGACTTGTCTTTGCTCCATTACATCAAATCTCACAGCACAGAAAAGCCACTAAAATGAATTGCGCAATGATTGAACCATTCATTTATCATATATCGTCGTTTATTTTCTTAACACACACGGTAATTCCTGGTCTGTCTGACTTTTTGACATTATTCGATTTAAACTGTCGGTGGATACTCCTTGTACATTCAGTAATTATATACTTGAACTACTTGACGGTAGTACATTTTCATTGAACCTTTTTAACACGTTCCCCGCCGGATGATACCTGGCTACAAGGTAAGTTAGTCTTCCATCTCGACTCTTACAGGTTCCAACTCCGACTTCGGATGTTTCACGCCAAACAATCTGGGTGAAGTGACCAGTATCATGGCTAAACCCCGGTGAGTCATATTTGTAACTATTGACCTCCGAATACCAAATTCTGACAGCATCAGCAACATCATAGTGGTCAGACATGCGGCAAATATTCTCACCCTTGAAATTTCGCTCTTCTTTGCGTGCGTGACGCAGTTCGTCGTTTCGTGACAGCTTCTCGGCCCAAGCTTGCGCGTCTTTTGACAAAGCCGATGACCATTTAAGACAAGGTACGTTGTGGTGGAGTCGTAGTTCATTGTGTGCTTTTAACACAGCATCAATGAAGGAATCTGAAACTAAAGAATTGTGCTCAGAATGAAAAGTAAAGGGAATCATTCTATGAAAAAATATCCTCGGAAAATGCTCACCAGATTCTCAATTCCCCAAATAAAGTCATGGCAAGCCGGTGGAAGAATGGGAGGGGAGGTGGGGAGAAATTCTCCACAAAATTCTAATTAGTATTAATTAGTATGCGAAGAAAAACCAAATTTGGAGTCACCTTAATATGACAGTCCCATGTTCATCCAGCGAAAACCCATTCTTTTCGTTAAAAAAGACAAAAAATACGGCAACAATCTGAAATCGTTTGCGCTCCTTAGTAAGCTCAACACAGCCCAAAGGATCTGCACTTTTTCAGTATTGGGAAGTCTATTTAGGACTGGAGTACCCTTAGCGATTCCAAGCCACGCATTCTAACCCCTCCACCCGATAAGTATAATCACTCCTAAGGATACCCTCGTTTTTCAATGATCTTCTTCGTGCATCAGTCCTCCCACCGGTAAGCTAATTATAGATAATTGAAATACTTCCAAAGTTCTCTTACACTTTGTTGAGGTAGAATCTTGCACATCGGTCACGATTTCTTTCGGAAATATCTTGTCTGTAAAGTGGAAAACAAAAACGTTTCACTGAAAAGAATTGATATGAAATTTTTAAAATACTCTTAAAATAAAGAGATCAAGTCCATAAAATGTATAAAAATGGACTTACCTTAAATAAATAAATAAATAAATAAATAACAAATAAATAATAAATAATAAATACTCTTAAAATAAAGGGATCAAAGCCATAAAATGTATAAAAATGGACTTACCTTAAATAAATAAATAAATAAATAAATAACAAATAAATAATAAATAATAAATACTCTTAAAATAAAGGGATCAAAGCCATAAAATGTATAAAAATGGACTTACCTTAAATAAATAAATAAATAAATAATAAATACTCTTAAAATAAAGGGATCAAGTCCATAAAATATATAAAAATAGACTTACCTTGCGTTTGATGCTCCTCTTCCGTTGACACCTGCGTCAAACAATAACCAAAAAAAACAATACTTTAAAATTTGGGCCTTTATGGCATGTAAGCGAAGGATATTGTCTATTTCACTGCGAAAGTGCTCGACTGTCTTCAGTTTTTATCATCAAATTAATTCCCGCTATTACTCAAAATTTACAGTTAAGCTGTTCTCACTACCAGTTTTACCACAATCTCAAATCACCGGAGGGTAAATTTTAGCCAGCCTAACCTTTGGAACGACGTTATCATTGAAGGAATTTAACATATTTCCAGCTGGACGGTATCTTGCCACCACGTACACACTTCCATCAGAACTTTTAGCCCTTGCCATGCCCAGCTCTTTCGAATCCTTCCATATTACTTGAGTAAAATGACCTGTTCCAGCTTGATGTCCGCCTCTTTTAAAATCATATCGCTCGACCTAAAAGTAGATTGTCATCACTGTATTATTCCAGTAAGTCATAAAGCAATCTTCCTACTACTGTAACTCAGTTACACGAGGTACCACAGCTCTTCAGCCCTACTCCTTGATGGAACCAGCTGATATACTATCTAAATAAAAAATTTTTCACGCCAATCTTCCCCTCTCCACATCTCCCTCTAGTCCATCACAATCATTGTTTAGTCTTGTGACGCTCTGAGCTGCGCATGAGCTCTCTTCCCTACCACACTTTTTTGGGAAAGGGTATGTTGCGTGACGTAACTAAAATAATAGCCCACGTGTAACCTACCAACTTCCCCCCACCTACCCCCGCCAAGGTGAAACGGTTTCACCTTGCAGGGGGGGAGGGTAAGGCTACACTTAGGCTACCAAAACAAGGGTTATGGCTACACTCATACTTGGTCTCGCTCAGTTCAGTTCTTCTTTATTGTGACTCCCTTAACTCTTAAAAATTAAAAAGTCATTAGGCACAATCGAATGAGTATATACTGTGTATCAAAACTAAATTATTATGAAGCACTTACCTCTGAATACCAGGTTTTTACGGCCTCTTCTGCTGCTGCATCGAAACCCTTTGAGGCCATGAACACATTTTCGCCAATCCCCTTTAGTTGATCGTGTTCCAGAATACTTTCCTTGGCCAGTTTATTTGCCCAGGTTTGAGCTCCTCTTGCGAGTTCATTGGACCAGCCTAGAGGCGATACGTTGTGCAAGGATCGTTTATTGTTATGCGCCTTCAAGGCGGTCCTTGAGAAGATATCCATTTTCTAATCATAAAGGACAAATGTGCATGCACGGAGTTAGGAAGAAAACGGTCGTTTCTTTTTTACAAATGATAGATGCAGAGGAGTGAAATTTGACTCTATTTCCAGTTTAATAAATCGGCGCGACACGATTTTGTTTGTTTGACCTTTGACAAATGCGATCGTGTTACGTTTCTCTTTTTAATAAGCCAACTGCGACAATAGTCGAAACGCAAACCTTTCCGAACATGTACGGTCGGAAAGCGAATCTCTCTCCACGAGCCGGAGTGAAGTCCCGAGAGCGTTGCTTGCTACTACAAAGATTATGCACACAGTAAGTATTGTAAGCGGTTCTGGTCGTGCGGTTGGAATTCCAAGCGACGCGCAACAAGATCCCAACTACTTACGAAAGCCAGTCAAAAAGATCGACTCTCGCTACATTTTTACGGTTTTATAAACTTGACATGCAGTCAAACTTAACTGTCGCGGGTGATCGCAGCCGTTGTTGTTTGGTCTTGTCACACAAATTCCCTCCCAAACGCGTTGCGTGACGAGACCAAACAACGGCTGCTAAGAAAAACATCATCGCTTATAGAATTTTTTGCTTGTTATTCAAAAGATCCTCGGAAGTACAGGGTTGACCACTAATTCTATTCGTATAATATTCCAAATTGCATCATTATGGTCGATGCAAGATTTCATGGTTGGTTGATCACTGGTACAAACCGATCGAGACCAAATCCCAAAAACCGACCGACTGTTATCAGGGGTGTGTGAGTACATCCAAATCCCGAGAGCTTAGAGTTTAGAATAACGGATCAAGATACATTAATATAAGACATAAGTACCGTAAAGTTCCGGGGAGATCGCAGAATTATTGTCGGTTTGACTGCTGTGTAGATATTTATTCGGTACCTTGTTTTGCTTGAACTTGCAAAGTTCAGACGACTGCCAGAGAACTCGCCAGTCACACGTACCCAGTTTGTTAGAAAATGCTGTTTCGCGTTTGTCGTCGGCCAATAAGGCAAATAATTTTAAATGTTCCGTCTGTTTGGAAAAATAGACTTTAGAGTAATAAACAACACTTGCTATGCAATATTGAACTGATTGCGACGTTCTGTTTTTGTTCAATATACTCTCGCGTACCTGTTATTTGCATATCTAAGCCGTCACTCCTTTATTCAGAGCACGTGGTCAATGGAAAGGTGACTTAACAACTATTCCTAAGAGAACAAAAAGCTGTTAATTGTAGACCTTCTTTGGAGAGTCTAAATTGAAGACGTGGCTCTAACGGCAAACATCTTGAAAAGAAATTTTGGCAAGTTCACGGTTAACACGACACTCTAGCTTTATCTTTTTGATACTGCACGGTTTTCACTTTTAAAAAATAATTAAAATTAGTTGCAATCATACCCTTTCAGCATGAATACAAAATAAGTAATTATCGGGGTGATCTGACAAAATTATTCCATTGCGTTATCAGTTACTGTAAGGATAGGCCAAAATCGGAGTGAGCGAGTAACACAAGACGCACTGTGCGTGAACAAAATCGAGGAAAGGTAAAAACATGGTTACTTTTCGTTTGCTCTTCTTGGGCTCTGATCTTTTTTTTCTCAGAAAAAATCAATATGTAGCTTCTCCTTGCAATGTCTCTGCATCAGTTCAAACATGTATGGAGAAGAGACAAGCCTGTCAGCCAGAGGTTGCTGAGTGATTAAAAAAACAACAACAAAAAGACACAAAAAACAACCGACTCTGCAGTTGAAATATTCGAGGAAAGGTTTACTAGATCACTCTCCCTTAACTTGTTAATGTACGGTGCTTTCCTTTTGCTCTATTACAATTTGGTCATTCAATCATTCATTTGCATTAACCGAAGCTCAAGAGAGATCACCTAATCTACTGTAACTTAAAAAGTTAATTAAGCAATTTATAGATCCAAATTTTAACAACAGCAGTGACCCACCTTGCTAAACGCAACTGGTTGCTTCAGACTTGAACTTGTGTCCTGCACGATTTTAGAACGAAAATTTGCTGCAACAAGCGAGCGTGTGCAAGCTTTAATTCGCAAGGAAATGATTGCAACGTGTCACAGATGCAAAGGTGTTCTCATCAAATGGCATTCATAGGGTTAATTACCCGCTCCACGCAGAAGTTCAGATTTCACCGCGAGAACGTTCCCTCACAGACCGTGAATTTGTAGTGCGACTGAAAATAGACAGGAAATACTAATTGCATACCTAGATTCGATTGTTTTTATTGGCAAATCTTTTTTCCCTTATCGATGTTGATATTGGCCTGTTCTGAAATCTCATGCAATTTCAAGAGAACTAATCCGTTCTGGGATAAAGAGTCTAAGGAGGATTTTTTGGCTAAAAAAACTGAAAATCTGCTTTTCATTAGCTCCAGACGTTTGATACAATATGTTTTAAGGGTGATAAGTTGCCATGCATAAATATGTATACATGGAGAAAAATGAAAGGGCTTCAAAAGCAAAGGAATGTTTCGTCATGTACTCTTTCTCATGTTGCATTTCAAGCTTAGTTCTGCGGAATGACACCGGCAGAGAAGGAAGAGGAATGTTCGTCGAAAATTTTGAATCGATTGCCCCACCAAAGTAAACCGGGCCATTTTGGACGTTGCTCGAGATTCCTTTCTAATTGGTTTGAACCATTAAACCAAGAGACAGTTTATTTAAGCCAGGTTAGTGAAAATTTCTGATTTAACTTAAATGTAATTAAGTTGTTGAAAATTCTCCGATTAACTTATATTAACTTTCTTTATTTTTTTCCCTCTTCAACCCATGTTAACACTCCACAAAATCTTCTCTTAGGATGAAAGTGAGAACCAAGACTGTATGCGAAAATTGTATTTCCAAGGGCCTGTTTACATGGAGGTGGGGAACCCCAGGTAGGTGAGGTAAACCGCTTAAGTAGGGTAACCCGCCTGTCCATATAATTTCTTATTTTATCTTGATCACGTTTACATGATAGGTGGGGTTACCCATTTGGGCGGGTTGCCCGGTCTACTAGGTAGGGTAACCCTGTCAGCCGGGGTGACAGTTCGCCATGTAAACGTCTCAAGGTGGGGTAACCCGCCCAACCGGGGTCGCTTTCATGGCAAAAAGCTCAAAAGCGAAACACGTATGTTATAAAACTTTTTACATTTCCAAGCCGTCTCGTGGCAGAAATCACCAGAAACCGCAACGGACACACAAGGAGTGTAAAACGTTCACATTTCGGAATATTTCGCGTTGTAAATCGACCATATTTTAAACTATTCCTTACAAAGTATTAAGACAACGGTTCCTCGCGTAACCTAACAGCGAGTAAGACAACTCGTGACGCTTTCATGCATAAATACATACGCGTCCGAGAATTAATCTTTCGTCTTTCACGAGACACGAGCTTGGGACGCCTATGCTCAAACTCCCTAATTGCAAGCGCAATAACAACCTCAAGAAACCTCACCCTAGCACCCCGGGGTAGTAAGATTGTATGTAAACGCATTTTATTTTTAGACCACGGCTAGGCGGGTTATCTCACCTACCTAGGGTCCTCCACCTCCATGTAAACAGGACCCAAGTCATTACGATCAGTAGAATTCAGTTTCACGTACTTCATAAAAGATCAGTAAGTGTCGAAGTACCCATTTATTCTGCTACTTCACTACTGTTTACATCTCTTATGGTTGATTAATTTTCTATAGTCGTTTTAATTCAGGCAGTAACTCAAAGCCATGGCTGTATTACTGGGAAACATATATGAAGAGGTCGTGATGCCTGCACAACAATCTTTTTAAAGCTAAATTTCCTGCGTACATTTTCAACTTTTACCACTTTTCAGAGAGAAGATCGATGGTTTCATGTTATAGTATATAAGGACATTTAGCCAGGTCTATTGAGTTACGTCATCAATTTACAAGTTCATGGTAAAGCAGTAAGTAAAAACATTTTTAACTCGTGGACGTGCGTAAATTAAACCGATATGAATTTATACTAGAAACAATAACAACTTGATTAAATGTCGCTACAGGAAGTCTGTTTAAAGTCCAGTAATAAATCTGCAAATATTGAATATTTCTGATTCTTGTGAGCTTTGGCAGAATTAAGCCGAATGATAAAAACAAGCAACAGCAGAAAAAAAATATTCATCTGCTAAGGTGTTAGTTGACTTAGAAAAGCGTTCAATTTGCTGTTTTTGACGAAGCGTCGCTGTGATGTCTGTGGACGGTCTCCTTTTTTTTGGCATTCATTCCTGAAAGAAGAAGAAAGAAGTGGCGTTTAAATGTGTAAAATTTGTGAGTTCAACTTTTGATATAACGCATGAAGAGGATCTGCAGGAAAGAAAGAACCCCATGTTTAGCTAATTAGACAACACTTAGAGAAAACAGAATCAAGTTAAGTGAAAAGGGATAGAGGCGACAACGAGAAATAAAAGTTATTAAAAAAAACAAATAACACAGGACGAAATTGCAAGAATCCGTAAACGGAAACGTGGCAGAAACATGTTAAACCGTTCCGGAAACACGACGGAAAACCTGTGTTTCCGTTACCGGTTTCGTGACGTTTTCTCGCGTTTCCGTTGCTGCGTATACAACGGAACCGGACCACTTTTACGTAAACATAATGGAAACATGGAGTTGCATGCTTCCGCCACGTTTCAGAAATACGGAAACATGTGATTTCGTCCTGTGTAAGAACATCAGTTGTTATGTAGCACAGTTGTTTGTATTGTGGTAAGAGACTATAAAATGGATGAAATTATCTATATCCGAACACACGGTTGGTTACCACTAACAACTAAAACACATAGGAATATTGCATACTTCATAGAGTTGTGATGGATATACACGTAGTACTGCATTACATTTTTAACACAAGTTCCACTATTATCAACAGCCTTTTAACTACGAGTAAAATAATCTTCATTATCCATATTTGTTCATTGATTTATTATAGATTATATCTTTTACCAATGTATTTATTTTGTTACTTCATTTACTTATTCATCCACTTAATGCTATTCAATTCCCTCTAAAGCTCATTTTGTTTGACTAATTTTTTTGAACAGAAATTTAATTTCGTTTTGTTTTCAGTGCATTGTTTGCTTTCATTTTTAGTATTTTCGTTATGAGTAAGGAGCTTAATCTTGACACTACCATGCGCACTCCTTTACATTTACTTATTCAATTACATATTTATTTGATTATTTGTTTATTTATTTACCAACTATTTCACTTAATTACATATTTCTTACCACCCTCGTGGTATTTTTTTGTTTACTATAGTTTCATTTTGCTTTTACTCTATGAATGGATTGAGATTAGTTTTAAAGTCTGGAGAATGAATGGGCATTTTAAGAGTTACACCATGTAACACTAAGTGTACACAAAGTGTACCTTACTCAAAATTCAGTAGTATCTGAAGTAGTTTGAGGTTTCCTCTCAGGGACCATTCTTTTAGATCCTGTCACTTCCTTAGGTGGAGAAATCTTCAATTTGGTGACCAAACTTTTACGCGTCACCGCATGTGTGGCTGAGGTCTTTTTTCTCGCCCCTAATCCTCTTTGGGAATCCTTGTAATTACTGCCTACAAGTTGAATAAATCTAATATATAGATTTAGCCAAGCCTAAAAGCGGAGCTCGCATTTTTTTCCCGCACGTCTCAAGGGCACAACGCCTTGCCCCGGCCAGGACTAGAACCCGGGTCGTCCAACTCGGAGCCCAGTGCACTGACCACTGGAATACTGAACAAAGCCGTGGCGTTGGCGTGCCCGCGGTACAGTTGACCACGCATGTTAAAAGTAGCACCTTGTACGGTCGTACGGTCGTACGGTCGTACATCCAAATTTTTTCGGCTCGATGAGTTACTACTATTTTGTATAATTATGGGGCTACGCTCTACGAGCTCCGCTACAAGTATATCTACTTTGCCTGTCTAGGGCAAAGATATATTCAAATTAAAAAGGAAAGCTGCACAAGAAAAATCAATGAGCAACATTTCACGTTATGCAGAAAACATATCTCGGTTACGTTGCAATCCATTTTAGTTTTTAACTAACAAGATTTAAATTTATAACATGACCTTCAGGTATTATTCTATTATATCCTGAGAGAAACAAAATAAGGCATTCACATCGATAGAGCACATATTTTTGAAAAGCTGGGTGGTTGATAATTACCGCTGAAACAACTTATCGTTATAAAGTAAATCCACAGCACACCACTTAGGGTAGATTACCATTTATTTCTCCTTAAATTTTCCCTTCTCAATAATCAGAAGGCAGGGATATCATTCCTTTCATAAGAGTTTCAAAATGCGAGCAGACGCTCATAGGCGCTGCGACACGAGCGGCAAAGCCTGCACTTTTCGAGCAGGCAAGCGATGTGAGCAGGCGGGAGGTCCGCGAGGGTTCTATTTCCAGTCCTCTTGCCACATCCTACTAAAACCTCTCGCAGGTTTGCTCTATCGCCTACTCGAATCTCGCAGACATTGACGCGTGTACCGCTGCCCTCATGAGAGTCAGTTCGCAGGCTCACAAATTTTAGGTATGCTGACAAGGAGGTAATGGCGCCTTGTCTGATGAGAGATAAACATATGGTACTGATGATGGTGTTATAAATCGACTCACCGCACAAGTTACACGTGATCCCGCACGTTGTCCTCATGCTTGTCGGAAATTTCTGACAATAACCTCGGGTCTTCACCATAGAGCAAGAATCGCGATCGTAAACATCCGCGCAGGCGACTGGAAAAAAGGAAGGTGAACGATCACACAGTTTCATGCAATCTCAATTCAGTTCCTGAGCAAAATCATTTACAAACCTTCCGACCCGCTAGCTTGGTCATTGCTTTCTTGTTTGAGCTGTTCTATCTCTTCGTCAGTTAACTTTTTCCTCCCTAGCAAAAACGAAAAGAAAACAGGCTAAATAACCACAAACATATCATTATAAAGTAAGACCTGAATCACCTGACTGACAGTTCCATAGGAGGCTTTTTGACTAAGCCACAGCAGTCAAAAATGACACAATCCAGAAGACACACCTATCCGTTGTACACATACTGTATTTGCCACTGTGGGCCAGTCTGCAAGCTCCCTATCAGTGCATTGCGGACCTATTTATTGGCTGTTTTAGTTATATCTACTAAGATAAAATAAAATATATTTACGAACAATGACTTTTCGCCTCGTAAATCCGGCTAAATACTGCAGTAAAAAGTCTAGACAACACTCACCATCACATTGGTAGAGTAAGTTAGCCTGCAGGATGTCGAATTTACTGAGAGCCCTTCGCTGACCAATATCAACATGCCGCAGAGGAATCAGAGTATCGAGCATGACAGGAAAACGGGAGAAAAATGCTCTGTTGTAGTGCATGATAGATCCGTAATCGTATGGCACGTCCTTTGAATCAATCCACTTCTTTCCAAATCTGTAGAAGTTTCTTTCGTAACCTACGCGAAATGGAACAAGCAGCGTCACGCTTTATGCTGTCCAAACCTCCGTCAATCGTTCTCATCTTTATACAATCTCGTTCCTTCCGAGTTTTTCGCTCGGCTTTGGTATTTTCTTTCACTCTGACGAAGGGCTAGTGCTTACTAAATTAATACTTGAACTGATGAAAACCACAGTGTGTCATACAAAACGATGTAATTGAACTAAAGAGATTACTTAAAGTACGCACGATACTAACGAAACTATCACCTCTTTATGATTACTTAGGGTGCGCGAGATTCTAAAGAAAGAATGAAACTTAAGGAAATCTTCAAAGTGCTCTATACAGTAAGGAAACAAACGAAATATATAGAATACTCAGAGTAGGCTAGATGCTAACGAAACATTTGAACTTCGAGAGAATCCTCGGAGTGCGCGAGATACCAACCAAAATATCGGAAAAAGAGCATCCTCAAAATGTGCAACTACTAACGAAGCAATTAAATTAAAGAGAGTGTGCGACTTATAAACAAAACAATAGAACTGTAAATGGAACCCTCAGAGTGCGCAAGACGCTAACGAAACAAGGGAAATGAAGACAATTTTCTGGAGTGCCTAAACACTACAGAAACAATGAACTAAAGATAATCCTCCGAGTGCGCCAAATACTAACGAAAAAATGACACAAACGAAACAAACGCACCAGACTAATTCCTTGAAGTGAGCGGATACTGTGAAAAGATTGAGCTAAGAGGAAACGTTACAGTGCATATGATACCAACGAAACAATCAAATCAAAGTGACTACTTAGAGTGCGCGAGATATTAAAAAACAACCGAACAAAGGGAGAATTCTCAGAGTGCACAACGTACTAACGAAATAATCATATAAAGAGAATCCTCAAAGTGCACAATATACGAAAGAAACAGTTGAACTAAAGAGAATTCTCAGAGAGCACAAAAACTAACGAAGAAGTCGGACGAAAGAGGATTCTCAGAGTTCACAAGACACTAACGAAGCAATAGAACTAAAAAGAATCGTCAGGGCGCACAAGATATTAACAAAACAATCAAACTGAAGAGAATCCTTAAAGTGCACGAGACATAAACGCATCAATCAAACTAAAGAGAATCTTCAGGGTGCACGACATACTAACGCAACAATCAAACTAAAGAGAATCCTTTGAGTGAGCGAGACACTAACGCAACAATCAAACTAAAGAGAATCCTTAGAGTGCACGACACATTAACGCAACAATCAAACTAAAAAGAATCCTTAGAATGCAAGAGACACTAATGCAACAATCAAACTAAAGAGAATCCTTAGAGTGCGCGAGACACTAACGCAACAATCAAACTAAAGAGAATCTTCAGAGTGCACGATACATTAACGCAACAATCAAACTAAAGAGAATCCTTAGAGTGCACGACACATTAACGCAACAATCAAACTAAAAAGAATCCTTAGAATGCAAGAGACACTAATGCAACAATCAAACTAAAGAGAATCCTTAGAGTGCGCGAGACACTAACGCAACAATCAAACTAAAGAGAATCCTTAGAGTGCGCGAGACACTAACGCAACAATCAAACTAAAGAGAATCCTCAGAGTGCGCGAGACACTAACGCAACAATCAAACTAAAGAGAATCCTCAGAGTGCACGACACATTAACGCAACAATCAAACTAAAGAGAATCCTTAGAATACGCCAGACATCGACGCAACAATCAAACTAAAGAGAATCCTTAGAATGCACGACACATTAACGCAACAATCAAACTGAAGAGAATCCTCAGAGTGCGCGCGACACTAACGCAAAGATCAAACTAAAGAGAATCTTCAGAGTGCGCGAGACACAAACGCAACAATCAATGAATATTCTCTTATCGCTGGCTCTTAAGCGACGTTACTTATGTTCTTTACCTGGAAGGATGTTCTTTTTGAGCACTCGAACATATTTATTCCTGTCAGGTCGACTGTGCTCGTGAAAGAAGCCAACAGCATGACCCAGTTCGTGAATTATGTTTCCTATTTTACACCGCAGTGCTTTGCTTCCAATTGTCAGCTTCTGGGCCTTGTCTCCACCGCGACCAACTCGGGAAGCACAGCTAGTGAACAGGTGAGTAAAACAGGCATGTATAGACAATACTTGCCGATACAAAATTTCCACGTTTGAATTAATTTTAACTCTATAAGATGTACTGCATTTCGATTGAGTGTCGTAAAAACCACAAAAGACCCTATTACAACAATCACTGAATAAGAACAAATGAAATTATTGAAAGAAACTAATACGAGTTGAGACCATAAAAATCAAATCGCGTGAACCGCAGGAAATGCGAGTGAAAAACTAGCGAACATTTCTAAACGGGTCTTTTTAGTTCCTGAGTCCTCCACTGATGTAATACAACAGGGTTTCAGTATTTGCTAGGCGAGTTTACCTTTGAATCATCTGATGCTAATTGGCTGAGAGGAAGGTATACAGTCATTAAGGAAGAGGAGAGAGAGAGGAACCCATAATTTCTGTAAACAATCATAACGCCAAGTCGAGGAAAACCAACGCAATCCTGGATAACTTTCTACAGCAAGTTCGGTGAAAAACCTTTATTGTTTATTAACCATTAAATAACAGATCCCCGAAAAGATAAAAGGCAATCTTTAGCAAAATCATAAAACGTAGAATCCGTCAGTGTAAAAGAAGCCTGCTATGACGAGCACTCGTACTGAATGAGGAACTGTATCAATGTGAGATTGACAGGTAAACGTGCTGAAAATGTCTCACTCACGCTTATACAGGAAATTCAAGAGGGAAAATTTATCTGGGTGCTGTAATAGCTATCCAGTTTGTTCTAGTTTTGCTAAACTTTGCTCTGACTTTGGTCGAGAAAACTCTAGACAAGTCAGATGCAAAACTTAAACCAATCACGATTTGGTCACCCGCTTTTCCCGCGTTTCAAGTTTCTCGAGTTTTAATTTGAGCTCTCGTTGGTGCGCTGCTATATTTTCCTGAGTTCTGATTGGCCGTTGTCAGTGCTTTGATTTGGTTTGAGAAACTAAATCGAAAACCGCTCTACTCGTCATCATCAAAGACCTTAAATCACAAACCTGAAATCAGCTGAGTTGAAAAATTGAGTAAAAGAGAAAGAGATTTCAACACTTACCCTCCCTCAAAAACGAAATTTATATATCCCAAGTCGTCGGCTGGTTTCTTGACTCGTTTGAACTTGAGGCAAGTGTGTCTCTGCCAGTGGCGCATAGCTGCACGAGCTCGTCTCCTTCCTATCCTATCTTAAGTAAGATAAATAAAAAACCCACTGTATAAATTAGGAGTTCTTTCTTTCTAGATTGTACATTTTACACCTAAACCAGATGCGTTTACTCTTGAGGTGAGTCGTATTTGATCAACAAACAGAAACACAGAGTCACAAATTGATAATCTACGTTGGAGCGAAATCACTAGGCGTCAGACGTCGCTGTTCGAAGATACAGACTGAATTTCTCTGCTGTGTTTAATACTAGAGGTGAGAATTCTAAGGTTCCAAACAACAATCGCCGGATAGAGCCAAGATATTCTTAATTGTTAAACAAATTCTCCCTAACGGCACCTTGGGAAATGTTTAGAGAACTGTATGGAGAATATGCATACAGATGTTATTGTGTGAGGTAAACGTTTCATTCCCTTACCTACTCCCTTGTCAAAATTATAGTACACTTTGGCGTTCGGCCAGAGATACATTTTGTCCTTAATGAGAGCCCGTTTGGAGCCTTGTTGCACGCTGTCGTCTTTCTTAATATTGCTTAGGAAATCATTTTGGTCAGGTGTCAGTATCATGTCGCCTTCAAAGTAGTCTTTTCCTAAATTCTCCTCGCCTGCTGAGCAGCAAGAAAAACTTGTTATTACATTAAATTAATGGTTAAGGGCACAACAACATTTCAAAATTTTAATATTGGAACGATGGAATGTCTCGGACAACGCTTATATTTCTATTGTTTGGTTTGGTATAGCAGAAATGGCTCCTGCATCTTCTCTAACCTTTGACTCTCATGAGTAACCAAGACAGCATTTCCCCTCACATTATCGACAGAATATTAAACAGACAGGTTATGAAAATAAAGAAAAATATTCTCAGTAGATTCTTATTTGATCCAACACCAAATTCTCTAAACTAATATCATGAGAATTGCATGGCAGAGAGTAAAGAGAATTACAAATAAGATATAAGGAGTGAAAGGGTTAGGAGGTTTTTTTTCCTCCTAGACTTAATACTTAAAGGATTAACCACTCAAAAACCTTTCAAAGCTGATGAACTTGCATTCAGTAACATAGCTTGGCAGATTTCTCGATACGCTTCTCGCAGCTTCGATCGACCTGAAGCGTATACGGCGGAGCTTGGAAAAATAATAGGGAAGGGGCGGGAAAGCAGTTTCTGTACCTATTTCGTCGCTATCCTGTTGCTGAACTGCGTCTTCCTCTTCCTGAGCCAGCGTTGCTCTATCAGTGGCAAGTTGGTTGGGTGTTTCTGGGGCACTCGCAGGCGAGCTAACATCTGCGGAATAGGGGTGGAGTTTTGGTGTTTCATCCATTGAATATTTTAACAGATTGTTGCTTGCACTATTCATTCAACGCTTTTTTAAGGATTAATATATAGGAATATCGAACCAAATATAAGAAAAAATAGAAAACATACTCGAGATGCCATCAGCTGCTTCTATTTTTGTATTTAAATTGTGTATGACAGTAATCGTAGAAAGTGAGTCGACCTCGTTACCTGTTACAAGAATGCATATGGTTGAAGAGACTTCCACATTTCAGAGTATCGAAGAACTAAAATACATTTTATCATCTAAACTGCGGTTTCTTCAAGAATTCCTAGCTTTGACAAAGCCGTAACTACACACGTATAAAATTAAGATAATCATTTTTGACGCGTCACTCGCTTTTCGCACCGCTCTGTCAATTGGTGTTAATCGATATCTCTCTTGTTCGCTGCTCTCACTTGTGAGATATTGTGTAAAACACGAGAAAAGAAATTCGATATCCACAAGAAAAAGTGTATTATTCTTTGTTTGTTCATTCAATGTATGTATAACGTTCCTGTAAATACAAGATAAAGAGTGAAACCTTTTCCCTCAGGAGCAGAGTTTGTTGTTATAATACACTTACCTCGTGAGTAAGACACATCGTCTTCTTCGTCATCTCCTTCTAAAATATTCGCGTCATCCTGGTGGTACGCTTCCTGTAACTGAGGTTTTATCTGGTTTTCTTTCAACACCATTGATCTGGAATCAGGCTTGGAGTGCTTGGCTGTTCTTTCTTCCGTTTTGGTAAGAGAAGCCTTTTTTAGCGCGGTTGATTTCTTGGGAACCGCCTTCTTTTTCAAGATCGTGTGAAGATGACTGCTTTTCTTCTCGGCGTTTTTCTTGTGTACTTTACTTCTAAGGACTTTAACTTCGTGTTCGCGGAGTGGTTTATCCCACAATTCTTCGTCTACTGGGGCTTGGCTTGTTCCACGTCCTTTTGTTATGTCATCTTTATAACCTGCATCCAAAATATTCAAATACAAACCTCAAACGAAATTTACGCACAGAAATATAAAAATATGCACACTAACGGTATTATTAAAAATCCTGCAGGATAATTATTTAATCATTTCCTTCATATTATTTCTTTCATTATATAACTGGCTCTGAAGATGGCTAGTATGAAAATAGTACCATCATCAAAATTCGATCTTTGACCCGTAATTGTATGAAGGTGCGGTCGAAAAGTCTTTTTTATCTGTTTTCATTTTTTGGTTTCAATCGGAAACCGTACGCTTGGTAAAATGGTAGTACGATTTCCTCGAAACAATTCACATAATGACTGCGATTGCAGAAAAAAATTTAAAACGGTTAGTCTCGAACCCAGACCTCTACGGAACAGTTACATACCAGTCAATCATGTAGAACCTGGGTAATAAGTTTTATACCTTGTGGTTCGAGGTACCCAAGGATTGAAATTAAGGCTTTCTATGCAAGATTGTGACCCCAAGCTGTATTACGTTATTTAGTGTAACGATATCTTGGAACACCATCATCAATTTTTACAAACAGAGTAACCATGACCAAACCTGGGCAACTATACAGCAAATTTCCTTGTTTTATATCCAGGTCACTGAGCCCGACTCTCTGACCAATGGTTGCGGACGTGTCTTGTATTGGTTCCAGAGTTTTTAATCCTTTACCCTTCGTAAAGAAGAATTCACCGTAGTGCATAACTGAGCCATAGTCGTATTCCACATCTCGAGAGTTCACAGTAGCTTTAGTTTCCTTTTCAAAGTTCCTTTGATAACCTGTCAAAAGAGGGAGAAGCTTTCAACACTTTACGACACCACGGCAATTTGTAAGTGTGTTTCTCATACTGATGTAAAAGACAGGAAATGGGGAGGAGGGAGGTTGAAACCAAAAAATTCCAAAAGTTCGATCTGAAGTAAATTCTTCTGAATAAAATCGCGGTAAGCTAAAGACGGGAGCTAGTAGGGGTTTGAGGACGCATGCGACCCCCTACCCTACCCCTCTCTTTTGTCAAGATTTATATATTCATACCGAGAAAAATCCTGGCATCTCCGTGAATGCTAGTGAAAAAACACTGAAATCGTTTTACGCCCCTTAACGGCAAAATCCTGCTTACAAACGTAACTAATAGCTCACACCCGTTGAGCTTACGCCCATGAAAGTAGGATTCGGATTGTTTACCGTGTTTGGCCCCTACACTGCAACCAGCAGTGATAAATAGCCCTTACACCGCAACCAGAAATCGGGACAAGATTATCGTAACACCTGTGCTAATCCGGCCTAGTATACTCGACTAGGCGGTTATAGTGCAACTGTTACCTGTCTAAAAATTTCTTCCACACTCACCCATTTCAATATTTCCCCACTTAATTTCAACGTACTGATCACGGTCCGGTCGGCTATGCTCGTGAAAGAATCCCAGAGAATGAGCAATTTCGTGAACAAGGTTACCGTGTTTGCAAGTAATGGAGCCATCTGCGTTTCCGACTGAAATCGTCTGCTGGCCGCCAATACGTCCCACATATGAGGAGCATCTGAGGGCGAAAAGATGAAAAAAAAGAAACAAATTCCTTGCAAATTGGCTCTTTAAAGTTAAACACACTTGTGACCAGACCAGGGCGGAAACCAAGTAAATGTCGTTGCCTTCGAGGGTAGCGGTTGTTTGGGCACTCGACAGAAATAAAGGCGGATAAAGTGTTGCAGTCACAATAAAATAACGATGGGGTTTTATTATTTTTGCTTTAAGATATGATAGTTTATCACCGCAACTTTCCGTTTACGCTGTCAATGAAAAGAGAATGGGAAAGATGTGATTACGATACCAAATTCAGGCTTAATAGATTTAGTTACATCAGGATAAGCTTCGTACGTACCCTACCTCGTAGACAAATTCTATGTAATCCTGGTCGGCGTCGTTTTTAGGTCTAAACGTCAGGCACGTGTTGTCACCCCACTCTTGTATTGCTGACTTTATGTAACCTTGACTTTCTGTACCTGTATGATGGTCAGCATTAGAATCGTGTTGGTTCCCAAATCTTAAAATTAAATCCACTCTCAAGTATTTTAATAAATCACAGATATCAATCGCAATATTTGCCTGCATATAGGATTCTAATCCCGCTCTCTCTTCGATCAATGTAACTTTTAATGTTGTTAACACGACCATCAGCCAAGTAAGGGGTCGAAAGAAGGTGGCATATATTTATTTCTAGAGGTTTCAAGACGGTATGGGAGGGGGAGGGGGGAAGAAGAGCAAACGTAAAGTTCTGGGCGGGAGGCTCATTAGAGAAGAGAAGAATAATATAACATCACAGTAACCTTGAGTTACAATTAAGGTTAAGATCTAGGGGTTAATGGTGGCGCATTGCACTCACATCCCCAAGTAATTTCATAAATGATTTCATAAGCCGTCACCTAAACCTCTTGCTCCCTTCGAGTGTCGGGATGATTTCTGTTTTGCCCACCTTTTTTCCTTTTTCGAACCTAAATTTGCAGGCCCATAGCTTCGTTCTTATGGTCTTTGTGTTTCCCCCACCCTTAATTATCATTGAGGCTGAAATTGATTGTATACTTTCAGTCGATGAAATACCACTTTAGACCTTTACCCTCTGCTATTTTGTTAACATAACAAGCCCAAAATAGATCCTCAGATTTCGCCCCCTATCACATAACGGAGGTGAATTATGAGAGATGCATACGGACGCGTACCTCTTTCAGGTGTTCAGTTGATTTGAAAAATAGGGCGATAATACTGGCAGAATGACGCAAAAAAAGCTAGAAAGATTAAGGGGAGATTGTTCGCCTCCCTCTTTGGTGCACTCTGACACTTTTACCCCATTATATATTAAAAGAGAGCTTGGAACAAACAAGAAGCAAAACAATTTGAAGCGCCTTGACAAAATGAAATATTTTTTGTTTATATGAAAAATTTGTAAGAGGCAAAGGGCTTAAAACTGAGGCCACATTTAGGACAGGAGACCTCTCTACTAAATCTGCAAAGGCCTAGAGAACAAACGCTTTTGCTTGTTTTAAGATAGCTGATTTTACTTACTCAGATCACTAGCAAGCGCATATGGCACCACACCATTAGGCCACAATTTTCGTTCATCTCTTATAAGTGCTCTGGCTTGGAGAATGTTTCTTCCCCGAGAGGCCTTTATGTAGTCTCTAAGTTGTTGGGTTAGCTTTATGTCTCCCTCAAAGTAATCCATTCCAAGATTTAATTCTCCTAATGTTGCTGGAAAAAGTGGCATTAAAGAAAATGTTACCGTAGTCGTATCACATCTACCTGTTTATGGACTATTCGTCTTTTACCAGGCATGCTGGTCAGGTAATATCACTGTGTAAGCTTCTTACAAGATGGTACACCGGACAAACACTTATCGCTAAGAAAATCATAGCAGGAAATGTATATTGTGTTAGTTTTGGCTCGTTCACCCAGTAGAAAGAGTAGAAACTAAAGGATATAAGCAATTTTTTGCGTCACCATCTATCATATTGATGGCGACGATGATGACGCTGCTGATGAGGATAGCTATGTCGATGACATAACAAAAAATGGCGATAATGACAAAGATTTTCGGTATGCGGTTATCTTTACGATTGTACCAACATTATTTTACTATTAGAGTAAAGCAAGTAACGAGCTATCGTTCACCTTCCATTTCTTGGTCATACATTTTCAGATTCGCGGGGTCTATGGATGGATCCAAATCTGTAGAATTGTCTGGTTCACTTAAAGTGGCTGAGGGAGAAAAAAAAGCTCATATGCATTACTACTTTAACGTAAGGTAATATTTTAGAAGCAAATGCACCCCGAAAGGACTGTGTCACGAATAAAGTTTGTTATATGTTTTAATAAATGCAGTTACAATCAAGCAATTTCTTTAAAATGAAGAATTAAAGGCTTGTACACTAGGTAAATTGAGCAAGGAAATTATTGCTTTCGTATTACTTCCTGATACTAAATATTCTTCTCAAGTCCTCCATCCTGGCTTTATTTATCTTCTTTAGAGTATATATAGTTTTTCATTCTTCAATTCATTTTCTTTATTCCTGCTCGGTTTCAGCCGGATTAATCGGCTCGTGGCTGGAGCAGGAGGAGTAACCACACGATTAAAACAATCTACAACTATACAATGTTTACACTCTTACCTCGGCATATGAAAATGTTTTGCATTAACAAAACAAAAACTGGAAGGCCTAAAACTCTCATCCTTTCCCTCCTGTTCCTTGAGAGCACAAAACAATGACCAAAAAAATTTTAAAAAATTGGTTGATACATTAGTAATTGCACGATTGACAGACAGCTCGAATTTGAGTAATTCTCAACAGTTCTGATTGGTTGGCCTGTCCCATGAGAACTTTCTTTTAACTGAACTGCATCAATTGAACAGTTGGAGAGTCAATGAAAATAATTAAACAGAAAATGGGGGAGGGAGGGCAAGGGGTTTTATGCGGCTTCAGGATGGAACCGAAAAAATTAATGAAGTTAACAGTAGCACATTCTATATTTCCCACAAATACTCGTTGAACCATTTCAGAAAGTACTGTGCGTTTACGAACTCAGGTTTCGGTGCAATACAAACTCACTGAGTTTGACCAAATCATTGAAACGAAAAAAAAATGAGTATTTCAGAACTCGATTAGTTCTGTTTATTTCTCGAGTCGGTGTTTTTATTGTACTTCTCAAAAGCGTAAAAATGGAAAGACAACAAAAGCGCTGGTACCAAATGGTGCTCGGCAGAGTAAAAACTGCAGGTATCATTTAGCCACTAAGCAGGCAAATCACAATGAAAAGAATGGAATTTTGGAACGACTTCCTACGGAATTTCGAAAACAAAATTCAAATTGGAAAAAATGAGTATGTCTTGAAAAAACGTTATTGTGTAAATCCCCTATAGGCATTGATTTGCCTCAAATGATCGTTGAAAGATTTTTCTTGACAGATGGAGCCACAAGGAATGTCGAATATAAGATCATTGCCATTTTCAGGCGTAATTGATCACTGACAGTTAATTCGCCTCATACATGATAACTTCAAGCATTAAGTGTGGGACTGTAGTAATATAACAGTTAAAATTGCAGTTGAAATACGGTGAAGCACAGCCATTCAGCGAATTCGTAGAAATTACGACTCTATTTAGTTTGGAACCAACATATATTTCATAAAATAATATGAAGATCAAAAGGGCATCTTACCTGCTAAAAATTCAATTTTCTTTCACCTGCACCGGGGATATCTGAAAGGGAAGTTTTCCCTTCAAGATTTTCGTTTTAGAAAGATGGTCCACAAAATAAAAGAGAATGTATGGAGCGTAAAACAGCAAACAACGCGATTGGTTCACCAGCAATGTTGTTAAGCAGGTACTGGTTCATGCTTGAGATCACTTACGACTGGTATCCCATTGTAGGGCCTTAAAGACAATGTCTAATTTAAGCATAAAATGCTTGCATTGAGCTTTCTTATTGTCTTGTCTTAAAGGGTATGAAAAATGCTCACACGACATAGGCAATGCTAGTCATGTGAAGTAATTGCTTTATCAAGTTATTTATGTCCTATAGTTATGAAATCAAAGTGGAAAAGCATTTCGCTGAACTAGAGGTCTTAGGTCAGGAGGCAAATTCAAGCTAATGATACCCAATACTGATATATTATGTCATAGAATTATTTGGCACCGACTTGCTGAGATATAAGAAAGTTTTAAAGCTGTCTCAATAGTGACGTTAAACAGCATGTCGATTTGAAAAATAAAGTGACAGTTATGTTGAAGATTCGCAGATGGTCTCAAACATTGGACGAATGGAATGGTGGTAGTCCCCTCTTCTTCATTAAAAGTTGGGGCAGCGTTTAGCTTAAGATAACTACATGATTCTTCACGTACCGTTAGCATGAGATTTCCGCTCTGAGAATACGCTAAATAGTCAATTGCGATGGTAATTTGCGGAAGCATCTTAGAAATTTGTAAAGTTTTAAACCATACGTGTTGAGCCATTGTTCTGCACATGAAACGTTTTGTTTCACCGCATTCTCGTTGCAATCGCCGTTGTACCTTAACCCCAACACTATTGATTTATGACTTATTTTATTTCCTCCCCGGCTGATAACTTTATAACTTGCTGGTAGGTTTAGTTTTCCTGGGTGCTCACGAATGGAGCCTTTTTAAACATAGTTACAAATGGTAGGTGGTACATTCTCTTTAATCTTATAGGTGAGGTTAAATATTTTCTAGCTTATTAATTGAAATTACCAAGATTTCACTTTCTAAAATAAGAAACATTTTAAAAATATGTTTTTTCAAATTTCAATTTTATCTTTGCAATGATTCATGGGCGAATGGTAACGATTAAGAGGCGAAACAGTATTTTCTTTCATTATTTAATTACACCTGATATTAATGAGGCTGAAGTTTTAATTTTAAGCGTTAACTATATATCAGCCTGTCTCCTAAATCCGCATGCATAATAGGCTCCACAATGTCTGAAGTGACTCCAAATTCAGGTTGTTCGATTTCTTTTACACGTTTTATCAAAGACCGGCCGGACTCTGCATCACATTACTTGACTCCAACCACTGTCGATCCTTTAAGAGAGTTTAGAAAGGCAACACGTGAGAAAATTGAGTCCCTGATGTTCTGTTCAAAGTTTACTTAATTCTCGTCTGAGTATCAGCTGTCTTGAAAAACAAGTGTTCTTCAGTGACCACATAAACTTTGATCTCCACCATTAAACAGTATATATGAACTTATGACATTGACCGTGTTTTGACCTTTGGAAAGTTGTCTTCAAATTTGCCAAAAGTTCGACTATTGAGGCCGCCATACAGTTTTGAATATGCTTCGCACTCTGGCCATTTACCTTAATCGTAGCAAAGTCTCCAACCTATCTTTTCCATCTCGTGACGTTCGACTTGAGCAAGTATGAGCTACACTTCAATAAAATAACGATATTTTATTTTTGGTAAACAGGACAGCAGCTGTTTTTGAGCTGTTTTTACTGGCTTGTTTTCAAAATGGCGGTGTCCATCAGTAGTGGAATTTTCAGCATGTTTGCAGACAATTTTCAAACGTTAGGAAACTCCTCAAAATCTTAAAACTGCGGTAGATAGTTTATTTTCATGGATACTTTCAAATGGTGGCGATAAAGATCCATGGTTTCTGAAGCATACTTCTCCATAGAAGTCTCATATTCGTCGTCTCATCTTCTCTACAGTAATGACAATCGATGTCAGTTATCGCTGGCCAGACCAGTTCAGTCATGAAGAGACATTAATGAACTCGCAGACCAGATCCTCACTCCTTACAGACCAAGCTCCGGTTGATCGAAGGGTGGATAAGGCTACCAACTGGATAAATCTCTATCCGTTGGATAGCACAAAACGTTTTGGTAACACTTATCCGCTGAACAGCGTTATCCACCCTTTGAGCAACTGGGCCGGGATCCTCTGTCCTTATCCTATTCCAAATGAAATATATAGTGAACTCTTTGAAGTACTTGAAGAGATCATTTTTGTCGGTCATTCTGGTGAACAGTTTAAAATATAAAACAGACTATTCCCTTCACCAAACAGAGGCGATACAAAATTTTCTCGACAGCTTATTGCCCTCCCATGATGCGACTTCGTTCCCCACTGACTGCCCCACCCTCATCTCCTCTTCTCTTCTCTTTACTTCCCTTCTCTACCCCTTATTCTCCTAAATCTTCCTCATTCTCCTTCCTCTTCGTTATCCCAGACTCAAAGTGTCGTGCCCAAAAGGTTTCTCACCAGCCAGCTCACTTATATTAGCTTGAACTCGGCTTGCTATTCTAATAAAATAAGCAGTTTTCAACTAGGTGTAATAGAAGCAAAACCAAAGTAATTACAACCGATAGTCCAAGCAAAGGAAAATATCACAATGGGTTAATGAGGAAGCGCGGGAAAACACGAATAGCATAGTTGCATGCATTGATTTAAGTTTTTCTGCTCATTGATTCAAAGCAAGGCACAAGTTTTCTAGACCTACATCGCACTACGCAAATCTAAAAAACTTGGAAATATAAACTAAAAAATCATTCTACGCAAATTAAGCGATGAAAAAGATTAACACAATACGCTGCTCACCCCTTTCCCTATCACACTGATATAGCAACCGTCCTTTCTGAATATCCAAAGAGCTTAGTCTTTCTCTTTGTCCAATGTTTACACCTTTAACCTTTGCGTGTAAGGTCCTCATACCTCTCTCACGGGCAAAAAAAAAAGAACCATAGTGCATCACCGAATTGTAGTCGTATGGGACATCCTGCCCATAAATCGTCAGAAAACGTTCTTTCCTAAAATTGACTCTACATCCTGTCAAGATAAATATGACGAAGACATTTACATCGCTAGACTATCTCTCTTTATCACTTATTCACTCATCAATTAATGAGAGGAGGTTACATTCCACAACAAAGAAAAAAATGAAACTTAATAAATCAGTCTAATTTACCCGGCATCACATTGTCCCAAACTATTGTAACGTACATATCACGGTCTGGTCGATTTTGTTCGTGGTAGAAGCCAAGTGCATGCCCAATCTCGTGCATTATGCTCCCTTTACTACAAGTGATAGTCACGTTGCTTCCGTAAGGCGTAGGAGACCTGCAGGACATGTCTGCATATTCGGTTCCAACAGATCCCACAGATACGACTTGACGACCTCCAATGCGGCCGATACTTGAAGAGCAACTAGAAAAAATACGTAAAAGCCTTACGTACAAAACAAACAACGTACAAACAAATATAATCACCATATCGCATGAATACTAAGATGCAGTTTGAATGAGAAGAAATGGTTTCGTTTGACCAGCACAACTTTTTCACATAATCGCTTTTAATTTAACAATTTTAAGGAGACTTGAAATCTTAACTATTGAAAACATAAAGAGCAAAAACTTAAGAGCTAGGAACAAAGAACAAAATCGTAAAAGTACTGTTTGCGAAGTGAACACGATTCATAATCTTTAACATAAAAATTCTTCTTAACCAGCTCTGCATTTATTCATTCACGAGCGTTACTTGCCTTCGTTTTTTCTTTTTTTTTGGAGTTATTACCTACCCTCCCTCATATGCAAACTCCACATAGTCATCCTCGAACCTCCGCTCCTTGAAAACGATACAAAGCTTGTCTTGCCATTCCTTGATAGCTGCACGAATGTTTGTGAGACTCGCCTCGCCTGCAATAAAAAGTATATTAAACGTCAGATAATTTAGTGTGAACAACTGAATTGAAAACGTAAATTGGCTACCGTAAAGCGATCGCTCTGACGAAGGGCTAACGCTCGAAACGTCAGCCTTTAAACTCTTTATGGTGGCGAATTTTCGTTTTCTACTCAGTTATTAACACCAAATTACCGGAAGTCGCCATTTTGCATACAACTTGAGAACGATCCTTGGGAACCTGGCCGGCCGCGGACGCATGCGCTTCCGGAGTATGTCAGAAATCTCAAAGTGAGTTCAACTTAAATGGCGGGAATTGGAACCAACGCAGGCCGCACACAATTCAAGGCGGGAACCGACGCGGAGAGCACACTCACAATCAGCTGCGCTATTTTTCGACTCGTCGTAAATAATCATAAATTGATTCAATAATGCTCTTTAGGATACTGTTCAAAGAATTCACCAAGAGATAGAAAAGAGTGCGAGACTACATTATTTTACAGGTAGGCTTTGCAGAGCAAGATTCAAAGTTGTGACGTTCGAAGTCAATAATTTTGGAAAGTTTACGACCGCTTAGGTTATTTTTTTGAATCTCAGCTCGTCATTATGTTGGATTGTAAAACATATGGCTCTGGGGATAATTTCTTCTTCAAAAGTTTGTTTATGACCTTCTTTATGACCTGACATGTTTTAATAGATCACAGACAGCGATGGATATTAGTGAACGCATGGCATGTGCGTCTCATTTGCATATGCACTTAAGGAACTGTAGAATTGGGAGTTTCTTTCTATGGAATTCGATTCAGTCCAGAGTCAAGCTTACGTGATTCAGCTCCAGGCACGATGTTCCTGTGGGCCTCCCGTCCAGTGAAAAAAATACATTCCATTACTGTGATCATTTCTTACCATTTTCACCATATGGGACAAAGTTGAATTGGTCATAGAATTGTTTATATATTTGGATTCAATTTAATTAAGCTGCCTTACGCATTTTTGGTGCTATGGTGTATGGCACCGTATTGTTTAGCCAAAGTTGTAGAAAACCATTCTGCAGGAAATCCCTCACCACTGGCGTGTTATCGACCGTGTCTTGCCAATACTTTTGGATGCTGTCTCTTTGGTGCTTTGTTAATAGCATGTCACCTTCAAAGTAATCTTTCCCAAGGTTCAGCTCTCCAAATGCTTCTATTTCACTCATCAGCGTTTGTCAGAAATGAAAATAAACAATAGCATAAGCCAACAGTGCCAAGCGGATATCGATCAAAGTTTTTTTCAAGTTCACGCACGCGGGCCATTATGCTCTTAAAACTTTCACTTTCACCTTGTAACAATATTAATAAGTCCTTTTAATGATATCGAAAGTATTGAAACAATCCTAAAAATTTCTATAGGTGGGAGAGTCGTTGGAATAGATGAACCATTAGTTACGACTATTTGCCATCCCAACCGCTGCCATGAACAAAAGAACGCAAGCTGAAGCCAACTCACAAACGCAAGTATGCGCGAGTGAGTTAACGAATCATTGCTTGATTTTGTTAACCTGCAAATATAAAGGCTAGGCTCTGATTTTGCGAAAGGAAGGGTGGGTAAAGCTATCCACCGCACAGTCACGGATATTTTGCAGACTCGAAAAATGTATTCACAGAGCGATTGAAATACAAACAGATACAAATGCAAGACGGTTGACCGGCCGACTTGACAGACTGATAACGATCGGGGGGGTGAGGGCATTCAGTGAGTGCAGGCGTATGAAATTGCTAACATAAGAACGAATGCCTGCACAAATCTACAGCCCAGAATTCGATTAGCATTTATGTCTTCAGACATGACAACATGTCTTATTTGTAGTTCTTAACAAAATTGTATATGTCTGTCTCTAACCTTGCATTTGTCTATCGTACAGCTCAAGCAAATCTGCGGCAGATGCTTCCTGACTTTCGTTTTCATCTAAACAAAAAAGAAACAGAATCGCGTGACAATTTATTATCTTAATGTATTATATTTTATAGTTCTGAAAATAATCACCATAATCAATAGGCTATTAGAGGCTCCCCGTTTCCCTACTTACCATCGAATATCGAGCCAAAACTTGAAGCAAAAATCAGGATATACGCTACTGCTGATGTTGAAAAGAGTTTCGTGCTCATAATATAGTTATGAACATGAGGAAGTACTTCTGTCTCGCGTACACCAGGATTTTGTTACTATATATTTTATTCTTTCTCGTAAAGCACATGGCAAAAAAATTTTTTAGAAATTTAAACGAAAGGAGATTTCAGGTACCTGGTTGAAATGCTGTCACATGTTTATGTCTTCATATAACTCTGACAATCAAATTAACAATGAAACAAAGAATCATAAAATTATGTCAATAAACAAAGTCATTGAGAAAATTAAAACATGATATATAATTACTTCTAAATTCTTCTTTCAAGCTGTCGGGAGGCAATTCCTGGCTTAGAAATACTAAAGGTCACCAATTCAATCTTCATGTTCGTAAGTGTACCTTTGATTTAATTCTTACGTACGATTAGTTTCACTGTGATAATATTGATAGCGTTCAGTCTTTATTTAGGAGAATGAATGTGCTTGTGTTAAAAAAATCTGATAGGAGCTTCAAGAAATACAAGTAATGTCATTTGATTCTGTAAGCATAGACAATGCCTTGACGCGAAGAGGACTGTTTCAAAATGCTGGCTTTAAGGCCTCGGTATCATTAGCATACGCAAGTTGCTATCACCATTTCAGCGTTTTGCACTTAACTTTCACATAAAGGACAATTCCATCAACCTAATTTCCCATGTGAGAACTAGTCAAGCATACATGCAGGTAGTGCAAAACATTTTAAAAAATCGGCAAGATTTATATATGGCACAAGCTAGTCTCGGCTTTCTGTGGTTTCAATAAACTATTGTGTCTACTAGTGCGCGGGTAAAACATTCCATTAAGTTTTGAAACTGTTTTTTTTAAAGAAAGTCAAATACTTCTTTTGTTCTTTGGTCCACCTCAATTTTATGTCACTCCCTTTAACTTGTTTACTTACAACTTGAGAGACACATTACGCCAGACTACCTCAACTAAGAACATTTCCGGGATAGGATCGCTCCATTGGCTTAATTGTCTCAAAAGGAAATCAGTTAAAGAAAACAAACCAGATCAGACGACGAGTGCCTTCGACTGGCAATACACCTTAACGTCGTTAACCACTGACCATAAGCTTTACAATTTGTTTTACAGGCAGTTTGTTGTTTGCTTGACTGGTTAATTGAGTTTTTAAATTCGCTAAGAATAAGCTCTTTGTGTACCTTATTTTTTATGAGTGACATACTTTACTTGAATTTATGACTAGCATAGAACTGGTACAGAACTAGTATCTAGAAGTGTTTAGATATCCTCATTATGAAACCTGTCGTGCTAGTTGTAAGAAAATTTGATGATAACTTACAAGAGGAAAATTTCATGACAGTTTCATTTTTCGTTGCGTGTAAAACAACATTCAGACTTAGATAAACCACAAAAAAATGAACAAACCACATGGAAAACACAAAAGAAGAAGTTAGTCAATTTTCTTAGTGAGTAAACCATAAAAAACTCAAGCGCCATTAATAAGTTTACTTCTAGCTGAGTGTAAATTAATTTTTTTGTGCTAGGGTCGACTTTTGTTGAAATGTTTGACGTTGCGTGTCATCCGACTGGTTCGATTCCATAGTTTTTCTAAAAGTGTATGCGCGCCGCATATAGGCCGGTTGGTGTTCTTCTGATTCGCTTAACCAATGCCAAATTCTTTTTTCGGTCTCTTTGATCGTGGGATTCCGGTAGTCTTCAGGCAATTTGCCCTTTATTTCCATGCGGATGTCTTTTTTAGAGCACGTAACAGGTCCTTTGTTTGCCAGTGCTTTCTTATGCTCTGTTAGTCCATAATTGGCAGAGTTAATTGTGACTCTCATATTATTAGCTGTGTTTCGTTGTCTCGTGTTGCCACCATACATGGGTGGAAGTTTTGTGAGCGGCCACAACTGCTTTGCAGGTTGCGTCGTTGGCCGGTTGTTTGAGAACATTATAAACTCACATATGGAAGGAAGGTTCGGTAAAGCGATCATGGCTTTGTTGGTTGTTTCATCCGCTTGCTCCGAATGCTTCTCTGGCAGAGCAAATCGATCACGTAATGAGTTCGACGCATGAGACGAGGTTTCGCTTTGGTGGCCACCGTTCTTACGGGAGAAAGACCTTGACACTGAAAACTTCCCTCGTTGTATTGTTTTCTTTGGCGGTTTGTTTTCCTGCATCATTCAATTAAACTTGTGCTCATGGCAGAAGTTCCAATGACACAATTGTTTATCCGACGCAAAATAAAACTATGCCTTTCTACTTAGTGACAAAAAAGGTGCAAACAATAGAAGCGGTCTCTAAGAAAACAAGATTAATGGTGTTAGCAATTTGCACCATGATCAACAAAAGGTGTGTCCCATAGGAGTAAACTAGCTGTTAATATGAGAGAAAAATAATTGAACAACGAATCCACCTCGCAAATTAAACACGACGACATAACAAAAGTCCAAGGGGTTGCTGATAATTCTCTGGGGTGAATTAACAGTATCAATAAAAGCCTTAGAAAACCGACAGAGTGAAAAAAAAAGGGTCATGCTGGATGAAACTCGTCACTCTCCAACTTTATCACTCATAAAACGAGACAGTAAGAGGTTTTTAGTGATAATTAAGATTAATTAAGATAAAATCAAAGGTGACAAAATTTTTGGACTTCTATGCATCAGTAAACACGGAGCGAAAAGAAAATAGCTTGGAGAAAAAATGGCGAATGTCGCACTTTCTTTTCAAAAGCTTTTCGTAGCCTTTTTTCTTTTTGATTTTTTTTGAGATCTGATTTGTAAGTAAATAAAGTTTCGTTGCGCTTATGGCCCCCCTACTCGCATGAGTCTGACGGTCGGCTATTTTTCGGACAGTCTTAATAGTCATACACAACGTAAGTACATATACCACTGACTATAGTAAGCGCGGACCCATCGGACCCATTTTAAAATGGAGAATTCTCCTGTGTCAGAGCTGAGCTTTATGCCAACGTTTTCTTCAAACCAAGAATCTGAGGGAGACAAGACAAGCTTTGAAACCGCTGCATCGTCAGTGAATTGTTTTGCCGAGGTTGTTGTGACTCAAAATTACCCAGATATGTCAAGGTACGTGTCCTCAGTTTACAGAGAATAATCATAATTGGTTGTGGATCTAAACAAGACAAAAGATTCACGGCAAAGAAACCCCTTTCTACTGATTTCTTTAGTTATTTACAAATAATTTTTTTAGAGACTGATTCTCTAGTAGAGCTCTAAATATCTAAACGTAATGGAGCCAGTGTAGTTTTTATTAGTAATGATAGATACCATGCTTGCTATCACTTCAGACGTGAACAATGTATGGTTAAGTCCATAAATATCTGTGTTCTTCTGAGGTCGTTCATAATCATTGCTATCTCGCATCCCAAGTGTGCATACTAGTCTTTTGGTACATGTGAACCATCATACATGTAGCACATTTCATTCATTCATTCATGCCCTTTACGCCTAACAGGCATGTAGGGCAGCAACGTGTTCCCTCCACATCTGGCGATCCCTTGCCATGAACTTGATGCCCTCCCAGGTCTTCCCCATCTCCTTTATTTCCTTCTCAACTGTCCGTCTCCATGTGATCTTGGGGCGACCCCGCTTGCGTTTCCCTTCTGGCGTCCAATGCATAGCAGACATGTAGCACACACTGGGTGAAAAAACTTAACAAAATGTACTGTACTGAGCTGCTGATAGTGGCTGCTTTAACTTGCTCGTGTGAGAGAACTCACTTGGATAAATAGTAACCCTTACATGTGTTCTGTAGGTCACTTCCAAACCTAACCACTTGCACTGTTAAAAAACAAACAAACCAACAAAATCATAAACAGGATCTTAATTCTTTATGTGGTAAAGGGTTACATTAAAACTGAAGAAAATTTTAAGGATTTGCTCTCCTCTTTAATGCAAACCATTTGCCATACATGAAAAGCACTATGCACCTTTTTTCTCAAAAGAACATTGTTGGTTATAAGCACAAGTGAAAGTGCAAAGGCTAAATTTTTTCTTTTTTTTTTTTTGGAAGATATCTTCCAAAATTGGCACTCTTAACCCCATGGCATCGACCGATGCTCTTCATTCAACTAATTTATTCTTGTTTCCTCATTACCATAAACCATCGACTCCATTTTCTGTATATAAACCCACACACAACCCACAATCCCTCCAATTGCTCTGATGAAGAGCTAACACATGAAACACCAGCCTTTAAGCTCTTAATGAAGGTCACTTTACGTTTTCAACTCAGTTGATAGCACTATATTACCCTGTTATACCCTTCCACTGATGCATCACCACAATTTCTCTAGAAACTTACGTTAAGTTATTTAATATTTAATTATAAACTATATTTCATGTGGACCTCTCAGGAAAAAAACTTACTTGAGCATGGTTTTTACACTGTATACATCTGATTTGTGTTTTAAACAATTATAACATAATTATTAAGTACCAAGTTATGTACATGTTGTGGTTTATTGAATAGAAAAGCACAAAGGTGGCCTTTGTTAGTTGCTTGTGGTATAAATTAATCTAGTGCCCTTTATTTTGTTTATTCAAGGGGTGTTACAATATCAGGTAACGGAGTGGCAACATTTGCTGTAAGTTCAAGTGGAGCTCTCACTTGTCCAGGTAAGTGTAGAACTTGCCTTGCACAATTTTTTCTTTGATTTTTAAATACTGTAGCAGTTGTGTGTTTCTAGAATGAAGTACATGTACATGTACATTTATCCATACCAGAGTGGTGACTAGTTAACAAGGTTCACTGCAAGGACATAATTTTCACGACTGCATTGACTGTTTATAGTGTCTACTTTTACTTGAAAAACAGACACAAACATGCATCTTTATTGATATACATTACTGAGAAGGTGTCTCAGAAGAAGAAACAAACAGCAACACCACAATGAACTTAAAAATAAAACTAATTTTGCACTTCAATGTTGAAAATCATCTTTCAAGAGAGTGTGAGACAGGCAAATGTTGAATAGATGAAAATATTTTTAAAAGCTATTAATAATAATTAATAATTTTTATATTGTAGTCATTTCAGCATTCTAAAAGTTTGTTCTTTAATTTGTTATTTGAAAAAGTTCTTGGTATTAACTGTATGGACATCAAATCAATTACACTTTGAATTTTCCATTGAATATAAATTTGTTTTGATTGGCTACTGTTAACTGCAGTAACTGTAATTTCCTTTGCAAGGCTTGGTGGTTTAAATAGAAAATAGTTCATGTTTGTGTAATTACAAACAGGAATTTTTATCACATACTGTAATCACCAACAATGACCACCTGATCACTGTAGCATTTGTAATAGACTTTTCACAGTTTGCTCCCTTGGGCTGTGATCTAGTGCCTATTCTCTTTGTTAGGAACATTTGGTGCATATTATAGAGGTTTATTTAAAAGAAAATGTTGTGCCCAAATTTAGATGGGATATAGTAGGAAACTCTGAGGTGTTCATATTAGAGAGATGTCTACAAAGGGGGTTTTCATTAAAACTTAAAACATCAGTTGACAGAAGTAAAACTACAAATTTACAACCTTGGGATATCTTGCTACAATCTAAACACCAGACTTCAACTGAACTAGTATTAAATTTGCACATGAACACTGTACTTGTACATACCGCTATTTTCAAGATACCATGAATGGCAAATATAACAATATAACGATCAATATTACAATCAAGTTTGTGTAGAAAAACTGGTTTGTTTTACTAACAAACCAATTTTACACTCTGGTAAGCTGGTTTGCCTCATTGCTCTTAGAACTCTGATGATTGAAAGTTGATGAACATGAAAGGATTTACCAGAAATGTGAAGTTGCCTTTTGCTGATGATATGCAGCTTGAAATATTAAAAAGTTGATACAACACTTTCAATACATGTGCTCTTCTTGTTTAAAAGCACAGGGAGTTCTGTCAAAAACTTGAAATGTTCATGCTTGAAAAGAGGGGCAGTTTAGGCAAACCTGGCTGTTATGTGGGCAAAAAAATGTAAGCCATTCATTGTTTCTTGAAAGGGTACAGTGCACCACAGTAATGATTCTTCTTGTTCAAGGTGGTGTGCTTAACAATCAAGTAGCAGTTGTGACAGTTCCTGAAAGCCAGTTGTTTGCTGTCCAGCAGCCTGAGCAAGGTGATTCAATTCAACAAAACACTGACTTAAACAATGAAGATGATGTTACATCTGTCACTCCCAGTTCATCAAATGTCACAGATCCTAATGAACTAACCATAAATGTGCTACCACCTTCCACTTCTCTCCCAGAGGGTAGTGTGTTAGCAGAGGAAGCATCAAATACTGCACCCACAGGGGTTAAGGTGAGAGAAGCTTTGTCTTGCATAATCATAAATAGAGTTAACTTGATTAGCTTTTCAAATGCATAATTCACTTCCTGACTAACACTATCCTAGGAGAGTGTTAATTGGCAATATGCAGTATACATTGCTTTAAAATACAACCAGTTTTTTATTGGATATTTTTCCAAGTTACTGATATTCTGTTTGTGATTGCATCAAATAATATTATATATTCCATGCATGTTTATTAGAACTAATCAAAGTATTTATTTTCCTGAAGCATCTCAGTGAGGTGGAATCTTAAATCCTAGAATCTGATAGGCTATTATCCTGCACTCGTAACCATTCTAGGTTTCTATTTCAAGGACAAGACTAAAATTTTCTTCCATTCCATTTGCATCAAAGGGGTAAAAAGCAAACCAGCAGAAAAAAATTAAATTAATGTTGTTACCAGTCCTGGTCTGTTAGTATGAAAAAAAACTGTGCCTGTGGTCTTAAGTGCCTCAGGCCATACTCAAGACCTTGTGCACAGTTTTTTTAGCAAACAGACCTCCTGCCCATTATATTTCTTGAGTTGTACGTTAACTGTTCTTTTCTGTTCTTTTTTCCAACCAAGAAAAGAAAAGGTGGTTGGCCTAAAGGTAAAAAAAGGAAGAAAGGATTTGGTGATTTAAATAAGCCAAAGGCCCCAATTACTGGGTATGTATTCTTTTAGGTTATAATTGAGTTTCTGTTTGTTAAGATGTAAAGATCAACCAACAAATTACAAAGTTATGTGTATGTAGCTTTGAGATGCTAGCCATACATGTTTAAATACACCACTTATACCTTTTAAATCTGAGAAGTTATCAGCATGTAGCTTCATCACACAATTTCAGTAGATTAATTGTAATGTAAATGAATGTGCATTGTATTTTAATCTAACTAACAGGTGCAGAAAAGAGACAAACTTGTCAGTTTAGGTCTTAATTATCCCTTTATTACTTTGACAGGAAAAGTATAGCCATTGCAAGGAAGATTTCATCATAAAATCTTGGGATTAAAAAGTCTTTTTTAATTTAGTCATACTCCTACTTAGTGGTCATCTGGTCTTATTTGTCAAATAAAACATTAAAATGAATAACAAAAAGGAATCCAGTTACCCCTATTATCATTACTTATTTTTGCAAAGAGCCACGTTTAAAGTATGTTGCCAAATCACTTACCTTGAAATTTGTACAGCCTGGCACTGCAATTACAATCATATTAAAATGTTGCCCACCAATTGAGTATTTTAAAGTTTTATTTCTGTTCAGCTCTTTTCTTTTCTACTGAGAATTTTGTTCTTTTCAAAATAATTAGCTTTGGTTATTGATGTGTAGGTATGTGAGGTTTATCAACAGTCGACGGGCTGAGGTGAAACAACAACATCCTCATCTACAGTTTTCAGAAATAACAAAGATACTTGGTTTGGAGTGGAGCAATCTTCTGCAAGAGGAGAAACAGGTATGTATTTGGTAGATAAAAAAATCAAAGAAAAACATGTTATCACAACCATTACGGCAACTGTATGTGAAACAAAAGCCATAAAACCAACACAAGGATGTAAGCTGCCAGTACCTGTCCTATGTGTTTTGTGCAGTATTTTCCCACTATCATCATATATTGAACAGTACAATATGTGACCCTCCATATGATTTCAGGGGTAAAGGTGACCACAAGCTTGCAACATGCCAACACAAGGCACTTAGAGTGTTCAATATACACATACAATATTTTTAAACAATGAAGGACACACTATGTTTGTTTTGGCCAAGTCAGCACGCTTGGTATTTGTTTTGGTTAAGCATGATCCATGTCATGCTTAGCATGCCAGTTGACACAGGATAACACACCAAAGTAAATGAAATGAAGCTTAATACCTTTTTTGTTCATTAAAATGTTTTTCAATTGTACTCAATTGTGATGGGTAAGCTTAAATATTGGTACACAAATGAGTGCGTCAAATGAATTTCATCGCTGTATGGTTCTCAAACATCCACGTTATAGGTACAACATCAACACAATTCCTTCACACAATGCAAGCGGTCACTTCAAAGTTATTACAAAGGGATATCTTCTTCGTGTACCTATAGTAACACGATCAAAGTGAAGCGCTCTAATGCTAAGTCTAGATCTATCATATGGTGTTTTCATTCAGAATTTTTATGGTATGTGTGCTAATTCCAAAGATCATGATGGTTTTTGTCATTTGTTTATGGTGTTGATTGAATTTAATTTAAAGCACATGACTGAGCATGTGACTAAGTGCATTACTATCATTTGCTTGAGTTTCCTAGTGTTCTCAGAAACAGAGAGTCATTGAAAAATGACATAATTTCTCACTTTTGGTTTTTTTTACCATCCCATTAAAATTGCTCAGGCCATCTGATGGAATATGCTTTTACATGAACGTTTAGGCCATTTATGGCTACATGTTATGGCGATTTTTTGATTAGGAAGTTGATAATTATAAAACACTGATACAAGCTTTGGTTTAATTGACCTGGCTAGTAGTTTTACTGCAATAATGAAAGTACATTGACTGTGTAATGATCACTCAAGCTTTACAATCAGTTAACATGTTGGCTGCATACTATGGTACATGCTAATGTGCTGTGTCCGCTTACACGCTACCTTTTGTCTTTGAAGGTTAACATGCTTTGCTTGTTCGCTCACTCATGCTTCATAGTTCAACAGAGCATACTTTATTGTTTGTAGTGTGTTATATGAAAAAAAGCATGACGCTCATTTAAGGGTGCTCTAGCATGCTCAACAAGCGTGTAATAGCCAGCTTTTGTTCATTAAAATGTTTTTCAATTAAACTCAATTGTGATTGGTAAGCTTAAATATTGGTACACAAATGAGTGTGTCAAATGAATTTCATCGCTGTATAGTTCCCAAACATCCACGTTATAGGTACAACATCAACACCATTCCTTCACACAATGCAAGCGGTTGCTTCAAAGTTATTACAAAGGGATATCTTCTTCATGTACCTACAGTAACACGATCAAAGTGAAGCGTTCTACTGCTAAGTTTAGATCTATCATATGGTGTTTTCATTCAAAATTTTTATGGTATGTGTGCTAATTCTGAAGATTATGATGGTTTTTGTCATTTGTTTATGGTGTTGATTGAATTTAATTTAGAGCACATGACTGAACATGTGACTAAGTGCATTACTATCATCTGCTTGAGTTTCCTAGTGTTCTCAGAAACAGAGGGTCATCGAAAAATGACATAATTTCTCACTTTTGGTTTTTTTTACCATCCCATTAAAATTGCTCAGGCCATCTGATGGAATAATTATGCTTTTACATGAACGTTTAGGCCATTTATGGCTACATGTTATGGCAATTTTTTGATCAGGAAGTTGATAATTTTAAAACACTGATACAAGCTTTAGTTTAATTGACCTGGCTAGTAGTTTTACTGCAAGAATGAGAGTACATTGACTGTGTAATGATCACTCGAGCTTTACAATCAGTTAACATGTTGGCTGCATACTATGGTACATGCTAATGTGCTGTGTCCGCTCACACGCTACCTTTTGTATTTGAAGGTTAACATGCTTTGCTTGTTCGCTCACTCATGCTTCATAGTTCAACAGAGCATACTTTATTGTTTGTAGTGTGTTATATGAAACAAAAGCATGCGCTCATTTAAGGGTGCTCTAGCATGCTCAACAAGCATGTAATAGCCAGCTTTTGTTTTCAAGTGGAAGCGTGTTGTGAGTGTGCTATCACCTTTGTCCCTAAAATCATATGAAGGGTCACATGTTTTATTTTGCATGTTTATGACTAAATCCCCTATTATCAGTGCATCTGATTACAAAACTTTTCTCTTCTTTCCATCCTTCTCTATGGACAGAGCACTATAGTGATTCAATCCCTTCATGTTTGACCCAATAATGTACTTGTCGATGTACAATCATGTACGTGTACATTTGTATTCTCAAGTAAAGCACAAGTTTCCTTGAGCTTGACAGCAAACTTTCACTGCTCAGCACATATATGTGTCAAGAAAAATGGTCACAAAAATACTTCACATACAAACCTCATTAATCAATGATCTGTCAGAAATATATATGTCATGGATACAAAATTATTCTCAAAAAGTAAGTTGCACTAGGCATAAACAAACATTTCAAACCATGAGCTGCCTAGTTAGATTTGTTCACTTCTGAAACTTAGGGCTCATCTGTTTCTTTTCATATTCAGTAACATCATGTTTTAAGCTTTTGTTTCATTTATTTGGAATGTTCAGAAATACTTGGATGAAGCTGAGGAAGATAAAAAACGTTACATTGAAGAGCTTAAAATTTATCAACAATCTGAACAGTACCAGGCATTCATAAAAAGACAAAGTGCCAAGAAACTCAAGTCCATTGTTGGTAAGCCATGTTCTTAATTTATTTGTTAACTGCCAGATCTGTCTCAGACAGTGTTTATGATAATGTACATGTTAATGTTTGTAAACCAGTGGACACTTTGAGGATTTTGTTTACTTTGCATACATTTACCATTGAAAACTTTAATGTGAAGTCAGTGTGGTAGTTTTCAATTTTTCTTTTTAAAAAATAACATTTATAAAATTGTGGGTTGTGATGTTTGGGACTGCATTCAAGGGGTACAAACTTCAGTTTCAAAGGTTCATGTGTGATCATTAAGGAAGAATATTGTAAACCTGACTTAGACAGAGACTGCTGCTTAATTATGGCAATCTGGCTTGTGCAAGTTAATATATCATAATTATGTACAGTACTACTCACAAGCTATGCTCTGGATTTTCAAATGTTAATAATGGTTTTTTTGTACACATATTTCAGGAGTAGATACCCCTGAAGAAGTGCCATCTAGCTTGTTGTTAAGTGACCAAGTGGTAAGTGACCTTTACAACATTTTGGTGCATGTTTAATTGTGGAATCCCAGAGGGCTTTAATGGTAGAAACTTGACTTTCTCCCTTATAGTCAGGTTTTGGTTACAGTTTCAGTTTCCACAGCCCTCTATATGATAGCTTTTTATAGCTTTTTAAAGGGTGTTAAGGAATCATGAGTAACATTTTGGGAGTACAGGGGCAAAAAGGGGTGGGAAATTTGACCTTCATTTGCTCTTCACTCCACCCCTACATGCTTACTTCAGTCACAGTTTCACTTTGGGAAAATTATGCAAAGCTGCAGTTAAGGTGATAATCCAACTCCTTGCCAAATTTCCTTGTCTTTTGATTTGTTGTGATGGCTTACATTGTTTTGGTTTTATGATTCTCCATAGCCCAATTTTATGTTTTTATAATTCAGCATAAAAGAGTAGGTCTTTGCATAAGAAGTAGGGAGTTTGTGGAGTTATTCCCTAGAGCCCAGTAATGATGTCTTTTGTATTTGGCCGAATTTGAAACATCAAAATTGGGCTGGTGAAAAGCACTCTTCACAGTAACCACTTTTGAGGGTGAGGACACAGTCACTTTTTCACAAAATAAAGTTGTTTCTGAATGTTCTGTGTCTTTTACCTCTTTAGGAAGATGATTCCAATGAATTGTACTGCAAAGTTTGCAACCAGTTCTTCAGCTCCTTACATAACAAGAAGGAACACTTATTTGGAAAACAGCATCTTTTGATGCTTACAGGCGAATTTGAACGTGAAGCTGAACAAAATGCCAACGGCACAGAGAAAGTTCCAAATGACTCTCCTGACCTGACTCCTTGTAACACTGTCTCAGATACTATAGGAACATCACTGATATCAGATGAATCAATGGTGTCTATCTCACAGTTTACAGAAAAGTTCTTGGAACAAAACTTAAGTAAGTACATGTATATGAACTCAGGAGGACAAACATCTTTGTAGGCTGGGTATGAGGGGAGGTTCATTCGAGTATTCTTCAGTTTATGTTGTGGCATATTCAGTCACGTTGAATGTAGTAGACCAATCACGTGTATGAAATAATAAAAGTACCTTACATAAAATAATGATAACTGTGACTGCAATAGTAAATGTGGCATTTTGGAAGAGGGGAAGTGACTAAATAGAGAGGAAGTCTTTGAAGAGAAAGGGGCTGTTGGGGAGATTAAAATAGATAGTTTACCTTCCGTTTCTGATTTTCTCTGTTTCCTCCCATTGCTCCTGTTCAATGAAATTTGTGCATCTCCCTCACTGCACGTTTTATTTATTTATTTATTCAATTTTTTTCCACTCGTTCAGTGGTTCATTTTTTGTCGCTGACTCGCTCATTTGTTAATGAGCATCACGAATATATATTGCCCCACCCTACATGTAGACGCTTTTCATTTGTTTTTTCTTTTATTTCTTTTTCCTTCTGCTCTGCTTATTTTATTGTTTCATTCGTTTTTTTTTTACATTTTTCATTGTTATTTTATTTGCATTTCCTTCCCTGTCTTTTTGCCTTGTTTTGTCTCTCCACTTTTGTATTTTCATCTTTATTTCGCCCGTAATTTTCCTTCTGCTTCGAGTCTGTTCAAGTAATTGAAAGTGATTCGTTGCAGACAGAGAACTGGAACTGAGAGAGCTTAGAAAAGTGGTCCTCATGTCACAGGAGGAGAACATGACACTCAACAAAGACATGGAGGAGCTTAAGGTATTTATTAGCAGTCTTTAACTTAAACCAGTGCGAAAAATATATTTCTACAAATTTATATTCAGCCTGTCAACAATTGACATATAATAATCTTAATTATATTTCTTGTATTTTAGAATTTATTGCAAAAAGTAGAAGATGATCTTGGGTCGGTGAAAGCTTACGGAGCGTCACTTACAGCTCAACTTAATAGCTTAAGGATGGTGCCAACTCTGTTTGGGGTGATTAACTTTTAGATCGGACCTTGAAATAATACTCCACAACTCTACCATCAAGGACCGTCCAACTTTGCCCTTAATGGTTCTGAAGTTGATTTGTAACTGACAATCACAATGAATAACGCAATAGTATGCAGTTGTCTGAGTAAGGCTTCAAATGTTGCAAAGCAACGTGGAAACGAGTACGTGAGCGTTCTGGGTGTGTACGATTACCTGTGATCAACCAAGTTGCGAACATGTCTGCGTTTACTTGTTGCAGGCATTCTGAAACTCCAGGAACCTGAATTTTTTCCTGTATATTGTTATACTTCTGTTTCATCGTGCATGTTTTGCCTTGCAGCCCGAACCAACTGTAAAAACATATATATATATATATATATATATATATATATATATATATATATATATATATACATACACACACACACACATATATATATATATATATATAGAATAGCTTAAGTACATATCCTAAAGAAAGATACATAGTGCTCGTGAAAGAATGGAGAAAGGAAGTGTCCATCATTACAGAGTTACTTTAGACGTCACTTTTAAGAAAAGTGCAAGCCTTAAATAGTCAAACTATCACGTTTTATTGAGGAACATATTACATAAAACTGAAAAACGTTCCGGTAGCATTGTACAATAATATAGTGTCGCGAAAACAAATATCCAATCATCATTTTTGTTACATCTGAGACTATATAAAGCATATTCGTTGGAGTGAATCGTGCAACCTCGATTAACCAATATAAAAGAAGGGACTATTTTCTGAAGTTTCTTGTTGGCTCCCGGCTTCCCGTCTGCAATTCCTTTAAGGGCCTTCCAAGCAGTCTCGAAATTTCGATGAAATACGAAGAGTGGGGAGGGAGTGAAAATCTTTCTTCTGGTAGTAACTTGGTTAAAAATAACCTCTGGAAGCTAAAATATTTGTACGGCATTCCCACCTTTGACACTCTAGTGTAAACTGTATCTAACATTTGGATACACATGCAAGGCCCGTGTGTGCGATCGCCTTAAGGGAAAAAACCTTTCGATCAATTCTTTGCATCCTTGCCACTCTCTGGTATAACTTCGCATTAACAACTCAGACATTGAACACAAGTACTTCCATCGAATTGATTCGATTGAATAACGTTCTTTATGGTCTGTGTAGTTCTGAAAGATGCTGTATCTTACTCAGTAGCAGAGGCGGGGCAGAAGCAAATTCCTTATTTAGAGATGCTGCGGGATATTGATGTTTTCATGGAAGGGCCTCTGTAGAATGTTAGCAGACAGCGTTATCATGAACATGGTCAATAACTGTTCATATATTGTGCGAAGTTTCAGAAAGAGGGCGATGACCTTGTTTAGGCGCTAGTTTTTGAAATGCTGAATCATGCTTCTTTTTGCCTCCCAGAAGGAACACTCGAGCCTTTGTCATTCACGTTAATGTGCTCAGTTTGTAGTTACCAGTGGGAGAGTAATCCTTCAGATGTCAATTGAGAGAAATTACCTACATTGTTCCTTAATTCGTTGAGAGCTGCGATTTAAAGCTTTGATTTCCTGAAATCAGCGAAGTGGAGGTCATTATCTACCCATGGGTCTTAAAATATTGCTACACAAAACTAACACCCAATATTTGTAAGATTTACTTGGTTATAGGCATCTTCAGAGAATATGGTGAGAATTTTAAGCGTGCAAAAACGGTAAACATTGCTATTAAATTGAGCACTAGAAATGAAATCTGGCCCACTTGAAATGCGTGTGAGTGGCCACTGTTGGTTATTATATTGCACTTAAAGTATATTTGAAGGCACCAAAACTGTTTACTTTTATGAAACGAAAACTAACTTTCTCTAAACTTTGTAATTCATTTTCTGATGACCTTACATGTCCCCATTGAACAGACTCTTTTTCGTCTAGTTACCAAGTTTCCTTTTTTTGGCTTTCGTGCAATGTTGATGTCATAATGATGTCCTTACTCGCCACAATCTATTTCAAGATATTGAAACTGCAAAGAAATTAAATCTTAACCTTTTTGCCCATCCTAACTAATACCACTTCAGTCGGATTTTATTCATTAAGCTTTGACACCATACTGGAGTTATTACTCAACTTATTTTTATTCTGTTACTTGAGGTGAAGAACACAGTATAGAGTGTCTTCGAAAAGAAACTGTAACGTCGATTTTCAAGTTCATCCACAATTTCCATACTTTTCATCGAAGGTGACGATCTAAGCTTACTACAACGGTTTGTTCTCAGTGTATATTCAGAATAAATCTGGTACTCTAATGGCGCATTTTCCTCAAGAAAGGGGCAAACTTGTTTTGACGTATTGATTCTTTGGCACTCACTGATCCTTAACTGATTATGTAGACAATGCATCGAAAGCATCCAGAACAGGATAAACATGCTCAACGTCTTGCAAGTTTTACATTGTCATGTCAGCACTTGCTCGCACCATTTTTCAATGGCAGTTAATTGGCTGAGCCTCTTGAGGCTTGCTCTTAAGAATTTTCCCACACCGATACGTGCTGTGAATACATCATTTACTTTACATAAATTAAACCAGAGGAAGAAAGCACGATCAATAAACCCACTATTTAATTTCACGCAACAGTGAGACGTATTGTTCATTATCTTAAGCCCCATTGGCTATCGTTTTAAACCTCGACGTTAAAGAGAAAAATAACCATTGTTGTGTTGTTGACCGTAATGCCCGACCGTTTAAGGTTAGCCTTCTTTTAGTGAAGTATACTTGACTTCAATCTTACGACGAAATTTTACGACCACACGCAAGTGAGTCTTCCGTCGCATGAGACCAAAATTCTTCATTTCAGTACCGTAATTTGTAAACTGACTTCTTAAACCCTGAGTCCGGCACAGTGCTCTTCTTCAAGAGACGCGGAACTGGATCGCGCGGTTTGAAAGGAACTCAGCCCCACAGTAAGCCTGTGGTTTGCCTTTGTAATTACCGTTTATTCAGATCACGCAAGTGAAGAGCGAAAAGGTAGGAAGAACTTTTACGAAATTGTTTCGCGTCTTGGAGGTTCAAGGGGATATGTCAATGCAGTGAAAACATTTACAATTAAGACGAACTATGCTTCGAGATTACTGTAGACGTCTAACTGTACAAAACTATTTTTACGTACAATTATTATTGTCGTTTTTATTGTTGTTCTCCATTTTGAAAGCATTCGTTTTTGGTCGTTTATGACATACTGAGAGAAAATATCAAGCCCATTTATTTCGAGAAAAGCACCTCACACATTTCTTGAACCTCGTACTGACAGACCTTCAATGGCTCGCACGCAGTTCTCTTCAGCTGAAGAGAAATAAGTGAATTTGCTTTTTTCCGTTCTTTCAGTTAAGAAATTAGATGAAGAATCTTTCTTTAGTAGTTTTGACAGAGTGGTACTGCACTTTTGAATCTTTGTTGACGGAGTTGTTGTCGTTGTTTTTCACTCGATAGCGCCGGAACAGTTAAGTCTCTAGTCGGGCATGATCAGAAGTTGTAGTACAAGACACCTCAGAAAGGTAAATATCTCCTGTTTTTACTTGATAAGGCTAATATGGGTATCTCTCGTATTGCCAAAATCTATAACACGTCCAAGTAAATGACATCAAAGTCTGGTAATGCAGCAGTAAACGTTTCTCACGTTCTTTTGCCATGCCTGTAACATTAATGTATATGCATCACCTTGTTGTTAATTTGAAAGTTAATTTTCCAGGGGGCAAAAGTCACAGCGAAATTTGAGGGAAATTGTGTTGGAGGACGTTTATCTTGTACTTCTATCGATCAGGTTAAAACGAAGGTGATGATCTACAAAGTGATGCTTGATTTGCTCACAAAGTTAGATATCACTTCTACTTCCAACGCTTGTAAGTTACTGCGCAACAATTTCGGGTCGACGTGTCGTTTTCAGTGCTTTATTTATGTTTTAGCGCTGCTGAGGGTTTACAGTGTCACTAAAAGCCATTTAATGAATTCGTTTTTTCTTTTCTTCATCTCACTGAACTAAAATGAACGTAATTAAATTTCTGGTAAAGTGGAATAAAACCATGAAATAATGCTTTCCGAGGGGGTACCTAATTAGAAGATGCGAGACGGACTGACGTGCGAAACGTCAGCTTCAGAAAACTCTTTGTTGTGGCCAATTTACATTGTCAACTCAGCTGATAAAACCAAATTAGCTTAGGATAGTTAAGAGTGTTGAGAGATGAACCTAAACAATCAAGACTAAATTTATTTTCAAGTAATAAAAGCTTTGACGCGTATCCATGAAGTATCCAATTGAGAGAGTGCGATTGAAATTGCAAGGGAGCCAAAAATTAAAGGATGCGGACGGTTGGTTGAATTCTTCAAAGAATACGTGAAAAGTTAGCTCGGCTTGGGAAAGATTGTCTCGGATACTCACACCATATAAATGGGCCCTGAAAAGTATTTTTAATTAGTTCAGGCTATGACGCGTATTGCGGGGGAAAGAAAAGACGTGAAGTGGATCAGAGCAAGATTTCTGCCGGATGGACTTTTTTTTCTTGTTGAACTTGGGTGGATTCTATCTTTTTAGCAGTTTCTGTCACTTTCGTTATCAGTGTTTTTACCTAGCAGAACTGATATATGGTTCACTGTTACGGCCGCTTCTATGAAATTTTCAGAATGGCTTGTTTGAATCCTTCACTCTAGTTGATACTTCTTGTCGCACAGCTAGTACAGGAAGTCGTCAGCCACAGAAAAAATCGTTATGTTCTAAATAAGAAAAAAATTCCTCTATAGTCATTGGTCAGTGTGGAAAGAATTTAAGTTCACTGTTTATCATTTAAGATCTGGCATTTAGACTTGAAGATACATGTAAGGCATGTAAACCGGCTATATTTTGTGTGCGCAGCTTATTCCAGTTTTTTTTTTTTTTGTCTATGGTTTAAAGCCTTCCATTATCTCCAAGTGCTTGTATCAGAACCATACCTAACATGCAAAGATATTTTGACGAACGAAATTCATGCTAAAGTGTGAGATGAAAACTCACTAGGATTTTTCCTTATTTTACCAAACCGTTTCGTTGAAAGCACCGGAACAGCGCAAAATCAATGTAATTACACGGTTTTGAGTGGCTCTATATTGTAAAGATTGGTAAAGGCTGCTCAGCTTAAGTGCACCATTTGCGATTGCCGTGAAGTAGTTTAAGAAAAGGCTCGCAAATTGAGCATTTCAGCTTTATCTTACGAAACGTGCCAAAAATCATCGGGAGTGCGGGAGCAAACGTGATGTCAATTATCGTATTTCACTCACGTGTCTTCTCACGCGTCTACTTACGTATTTATGTAAGTTTGTCCGCAGTGCACGTGTTAAGTTGTTAAGTTGTACACTTAGCTACGACCTCAATATAAGTGATTATCGTAGGCGTTAGATACTGGCTCCTTCGTTGAATTTGATTTTTTCTGGCATGACGGATACATCTCCTAAGTACTGTCACTTGGATTTCTTTTCTTTCCCCAAAAGGTAGAGCAACTTGAGTTCTTTGTTTCGTTGGCTATTTTCAGCACTGACTATAAAGAGCTAGCTGACTACTTGTTTTTAAGTTTTTCGTTACCCGCGTATTATTTGTTTGTTTATTTGTTGTTAATTGTTAGGATTTCTTTGGTTTGTGTTGTTTACTTTTTAACTGGTTGACATGTAATTACAACGTTTAAAACCTCATCAACAATGTTTGTCATTGTGTTCGTCATCATGTATATGGCGGACAAATTTTTGGTAAAACAATGAGCTGGTTTTGAATTGATTACAAGAAAAAGAAACTGTCTAGGAACTCCAAACCATTGGATCACAGTTCGGGAGAAAAAAAATGGTAATGATAATAAAAGTCAATAATTACTTTTATGTGGTAGGATAAGAAGTATACCTTTGTAGTCAATTCAATTTCAGATGAACATTTTTCCTCTTTGTCCTTCTAAATAAAATTGCAAAATAATTTATAGAGATTTGTTATCCGCATAACTTACATTTTATCAGCACGCATTCAACTTAGACTTTTCCCTTAGGCCCTCAATTCGGCTCTCGAAGAGCTTTTAACTAATCACGGAACAGTTTACTGTAAATAATTTGAATTTTCAAAATTTGTGGAAAAAAACGTTTCTTCCACCCAGGGGGGACTGCCCTCTTGTCCGCGGTCGCCGTTCCGAAGGGGTCTTAACACTGCAGACAAACCAATACACATCTCTTTAAATAGCAAGTGAAAAGTGTGTTCTTGTTTACCTCCAGGGATCATTAAATATACTGATGTTTTGAAAACTTGATGATCTGTGATCAATCCTTATTTGACACTGTGCTTCCATTATTATTGCAGTTAGTGATCAAGATCTATGTTCTCGTTTCAGTGTAGATTAGGTATCGTGGTAGAGGGTAACGAGAATAAGGCACCTTATATTTGCATGTATTGTCTCTCTGTACATCAAACCAGCAAAATTGCCACCACATGAAGTAGGTAACAATCACCGTGTTCCGGGTCGTGGCACTGCAGTGCCTCTGCTGTCGGTTATCCTGTGAGAGACTGACTTGTGCTAATATACGTGTGAAATTTCCATTGTTCGTATCAAATTGTGTTGTTTGCATTTGTTATAATACCGCTAGTTTGTTGTGCGAATCTGAAGGCGTGAAAGAGAGCCAGTACAAGGGTGAAAGATGAACAAAAGGTTATTATTGGCCCATTAGTTTCGTCCGCCACCCAACAGTGGACTAACATATGCGTTATTACAAAGTCCTATTCAGACAATTCGTCTTTTCTTCGCTCACGCTTTATGTCCGCTCGTGCTCACCCACATTTTACAAGGTACTTCAAAGGTTTGACACCTGTGAGATATTGGATGGGCTATTTGTCCTGAGGGCTTATCTTACCACTCACTCAGATATTTTGAACCCAGAATGTAGTAGCGCTAAAGCATCACGTAGATATTGGGTCAAGATTTTTGCACTCGTTGTGAAGTTTTTTGGTTAGGTTCGCATAAATCGGCGCCCTTCTGTCGACGGGCTGACGTGTCTATTTGGAATCAAGTGCTTTTCTTGTTTAGTGACCCAATTGTCACGGCAATGCAAGCTTCTAAATGTCGTTATGTTTAATCCATCTGTAAGCATCTAACATACCAGAAGTATTGCGACATAAAATGATCCATAATTAAGAGATAAAGCATGAAATGTTTATTGTTTTGTTAACAGATAATGCCGAAGTATATCCATCTGGTTGCGATTTGGTTGTTCATCCTTGCCTTCCAACTTTTCCAGAAGCCAATTACGTCCACGCACATGTGCCGCTATAAAAGATATAAAGAGGTAATTTCGGTGAAAGATGGTTACAACTGCAGGAAAACGAGGGTAAAACTGGGTATGTGTGTTGGAACGTGTGAGTCGTACGCAATCCCACTTCCCATCGAGCGAGAAGATAGCCAGCCGAGATTTAAAACTTCATGCCAGTGCTGTACACCGAAAGATATTAAAGAGAAAACTGTGAAATTTGGCGAAGGATGTGAGAAATCCATAGTGGTTTCCCAGATTCGCTCGTGTGAGTGCAAAAACTGCTCTCGACGTGATCTTTGAGGACAGAGGTGGAAATGGCATCAGCGCGTGGGTAAGGTAACGCTATAGACCTGTACATCATTCTAAAAGTCAGGAGCCAATCATTGAAGTGAACCTCAGTAAAACTACCACGATTGCAGTACAGTGACAAAGGCGAAATGTATCATCAAGGCGTTTATTGTAAAAATTAATTACTTTCGTGATAAAAACAAACGTCATGTTAACGAGATTGATCTGAATATGCTAGCTTTTAAGTCGATCACACGAAAATTAATGAAGTTATTTTCTGCTTCCTCAGCATGCGGAGGAACACTTTTGTTTCAAAAATTAATTGTAGAGTTTGGCCACAATCCACCGCGAAACATCCTTCGAGAGGTTGACAAAAGAGACTTTTGTTGAATATTATTGACTGGAATCCAAATGCTTATTAAGGAGACTAGGAAAGGAAGTTCGCCGGAGGCAACGGGGCATAATGAACTATTGTTTGTGTATTTCGCACCTGGCTGAGCCCAGTGTAAAAAAAAACAGCCAAAGAAAATGCTGTAGGCAAGAAATATTGATGTACCGTTCTCATTTAATCGAAAGAAACCACAATCTTATTGTGTAAATAGCAAGTAAATTTATTACGTTGTATTTCTCGTTTGCAGCTTTTTGTTATCGTTAGTGACTAAGAGTAGTGTTACCCTTCTTGTTCTCTTGCCTACCAAACTACAGGGGGCAAGAGTTTGTAGTTAACCTTTAAATTAATGAAGAAAAAAGAAAACAACTTCAACGAAAAATTACCTACATTATATTGGTTTTCTAACTTTTCTCTATAGTATCGCAGGTGTTAGGTGATGATAACAATGATAATGAAAATTATATAATGATAATGATAATAATGATAGTTTTCCGCTGTCATATCGCCTAATTTAACCACCGACTCCCCACCCCTTAAAAAAAACGCTTTTTTAATTGCGATGTAATGTTCTATCTGTCATTCTCCCGCTGTCTTATATCAAACCATCATTAATACACAAGCATTGTTTAATGACGTGAAACATTCATTTTATAATTTCTACATTATCTCGAAATATTGCTCCCATAATGGTGCTCTGGCAATCCAAGCTCTTAGCTTTGAGATCAACACTCAGGCTCGCGTTTAACTTTTCATTTAAAACGACGTTGTCTTGGGAAGAAACCTCGTTTCAATGCCATGGTGAGTGTTGAAGATACCTCTTCCTTTTTTGGAAACATCACAGTTAATACGGCGACAAAGTCATCTGACGTTGTCTTTTGACCTTCCTTAGTGTTCGAATTGACACTAGATCAAACATATTTAACGATGAGTTTTAAGCAATTTTTAAATTTCACCTTGAATAACTACTGATCGACGTTTTCATTACTGAGGTTTGACAAAGGAATAAATCGGGAATAAATCTGGTGTACTGAGAAAGAAGAGACTTGACCAATCGGATCTCCTCGCTGACTCTCGAGAAGAGTATTGCTACAGAAGCGTTTTTATGATATTTAGCCATGACATACTTCAAAAATGACGTTTAGATATGAAACAATTACGCTTTGAGCTTCATTATGGCCTTTAACATAATTAACATTTTACGCTGGCGTTCACAATTACAACTATTCAAACAATATTGTGCTTTGACGTCATTAATTTTCGTCAGAAAGTGTTCATATACTTTTTTTCCAAGTTTTTTTTTTGCATGCGTAAGTATTTTTGATCGGCTTTGATACTCTTTGTACTTATTGGTTTTTCCTTATTATCCTTTGCCCCGGCTAAACTTAATGCCAGGTTTAAACAATTCCATAATAAATTCAACCCCAAATTATTTATGCAGACAGTAGGCTCTATTTGTGCCATTATTTTCTTGCTGTGAGGATTCGTTTTTTCTTTCCTTGTTAAAGACTTTCAATCTCATTCGCCATTTTAGAGAAGAAACCCAATATAACTTTACTCCATCGGTCGTAATAAACAAAATGAGGCTTTTTTTTTTAAGGATCACCGTTACCTCGCAATAAAGTGCTTTTCGATGGAGTGTTGTGAAACCAAAGCCAAAGTAATCGCAACAGCATATCGAGGCAACTGAAAATATCACAAGACGCTAGTGAAAACTTAGAAATGAGAAAAAAATTAAACTTCCTGGAAAGAAGGAAAACACGGAAAAAGCGATTGTCCAAGTCGCATTTGGTTTAACCTTTGCTTGTGATTGGTTGAGAGGGTGGCTCCACTTTTCTGGGCCAAACACAGCGAATGGAAGCGAAAACAAAGTAAATCTTGTATAGTAAAAGGCAAGCACGATTTTCGTTAGGAAAGCGATGAAGAAAACTGTTTTCATCTTCCCAGCTTCTAATACAGTGGCAGTTGGTGGTTATGGCTTGTTGTGGTGGAACATTTTTTTAAGAATTAATTTCCCCTTTATTTGATGTCGTTGGAGCTCAGCGTCACACTGTTGACGATAGTGATTTTTTTCTTTGCTGAAATAGGATAATTCACTTTATTAGTAATGGTAATAGGACCGAGTGTAGTCTGTAATCATACGAGCGATTGACAAAATCGGACGATCGCAAAGCTGAAGTTCGATTTGTCAATCACGAGTATGATTACAGACAGAAACGGACGACACAAGGTCTTGTTACCAATTAATCATAACCGACATAATTTCCGAAAAACAACAAATACAATGAGGATTAATATATCCGGTAGAGACATTGCCTGAGTAAAAAATTCCTCAATTCTGGAAATTCCACAGTTTTTTTTCAGAATAAGTGGTTGTCGCTATGGCTATTGTAAGCAATTCTATGATTAGTGGATTTGGCTGGAAGGACTGAGAATGATTGGTTGCTTTAACTATCCGATTACAGGTGTCCAATTTCACTGTCCAAGTACAACTGTACAAATTGATTAGAGAAAAATAAAGCTGCTTATTCACCAATCACATTTAGGGAAAATGTCAAGGTTATGATAAATAAAATGATAAGATAAAATTCTGCATTTTTAGCAGACCCAAGCCGTTTTCAAATGTCCTCCTAAGGAAACGTTTCCTGAGTATCGCTTATTCCCCAACACGTAAGGTAACAAAGGTTTAAAGTCAAAATTGTGTATTTTATGGGTTTAAATGGTGAAGTTGACATAAATGCGATGTATAAATCAACTTCATAGGCTTGTCTTGGGCAAGATAAGGCTATTACGTAAAAAAGTTCGTGTTCATATGTACCCCTTACTCATTGTTTTGTGTCAAAAGTTAAAAGGCGTGTCGATGAAAACGGTATTGCCCGAGATTCTAAAGATCAGTTTTAACTTTATTTTCTAAGGCTATCCGGTGGAATGTCCATAGGGCTTAGTAAGGTGATAAAAAGAGAGTAACCTAATCAAATAGATGATGAAATTATGGATGCTTATTATTGGACGTGCTGAACGTAGGACTATTCATGTTCTTTGTCGTATGCACATTAAATGAGATTCTTCTGAAAGTGTATAGCAGATGAGAGTTGTCTGTGAAACGGTGGAGTTGACCAAATCCAGAGCTGAAAAAGTATGGCTTCCAAGATTCCAAGCTCTTCTTCATTGTGTAGCGTTGTGTGACTTTTAAGCTAAAAGTCCATACGGGTTCTAGGAGCAAAAAGATGGGACAAATGGACCATAGAGACATATTTCGAACACGCCTAACCGGATACGTGGCGTTGTTTTGGTTCACAAGGTGCATTAGTTTTTTCCACAGCGAGTTCAGTGATTTCTTAGAATCCGATCGAAAAGCTCACTCTTCTGCTTTCAGACTCACAACCTTGTGCCATTGTAAAATCCGCATTGTTACCACCAGGACCTTTCTTTTCTATGCTTCTGTCGATTTCTTCAAGTCGAACAAAAAGTTTCGGGTTGGCTGTATTTCAGTCCTGTCTTGGTAGGATTAGGGCCTTGAAGCCGCTTTCGTTTGTGGTAGATGATCGTAAACGATCTCTCAATTTTCCTTTGGTATTTCGAGCTGCCGCCAGTGTCAGCTTTGCTCATAGTTAAATCAAACTTCACGAAATTGTTGACCTGACGTATTAGTTAGATATAGAATTAACTGGTGCCCTCCGGACGCGACTCATAACCAAGAAATTATAATCTCTCGTTATGACTTATTGAATCAGCTTCAATTAGCTTGGCTGCTCAAGCCTGCAGAATCTTTGAGTTGCACAATTTCTCTCCTTTTTCATGGAAAATGCCTTCATCGAATTTTTTATCACTGCTAAAAGGAATTGTCCCGGTCTGACACGTGACTCTTTGTATCAACTAAATGTTTAAGCTTTCCATTTTTCTTCTGTATTAACACACAGAACACGACAACTTATGTTTCCCTCACGAGAACTCTTCCGAGCCTTGAAAATTCTAATTTGTGAATATTTCCTCTAAGTTACACACACTGATGATAATACTGAATATTTACGCCTTTGGGTTAAGGTAGATTTTCATTTATTTACATGAATACCGATCCCAAAGATTATTTTTCATGACGAGGGGTATTTCGAATCTTGAAATTTCTCTTGTAGTTTCGTTTACCATAAGTTACCTATAGACGTTAACACTTTAATCAACCCCGCATGCCAAAGTATGAACAAAGATTTCAATGGTGTTGAAATATTTTTAGTTAATAAAGGCCTTTCTTCAAATTTTCTGGGTAAGCTCTTCCGATTAATAAACCTGAAGCAATCGAAGTCAAAGTATGATTTTTGCAGTTGACGCTGATGACGCCAACGAAAGAAATATTCGAGGTAGTAAAACCCTTGTCAAATTTTGTTGAAACAACCTTCTCAATGTCTCATCAGAGTTTGTTTCTCGACGATCCTCTTTTCTCATCAACATCACTGACATGTGACGATGGGTGTAGTTGTAGAATCACTGATTCGCAAAAAACAAGTTATGGTGTCGAGTTTTGGTTGCCTCTTAATTTTTGCATTTCTTTTTTCGGAGAAATTAATATGATATCCGGGAAGACATTCATGGACTGCGTGTGGGCGTCTCCCATCTCCTAATGTTCCCAATGGCATTGAAACCCTCATTACCGGCTAAAAAATATCAAGTATATCGGTATTCTCTATAGTAACACTCATTTAATGAATTTAGTGACAAAGTGGATGGATTGAAAAATCATTTTAACAAACAGGACATTTCAAACAACTATTACAAGGATCTCCATGGGATTAACCGTTAGCCGTAAGACGGCCAGACAATTTAGCCGTTAAGCGTAAACATTGACAAATTATAACCGTTCGTCGTAAGAAAAGTTAACCGTAAAAATGTTTCTAGTAACCGCAACGAAAAGAATTTAACCGTTGGCCGTAAAATAGCCAAAGTTTTAAGAATTAACCATAGAGGCCATCACACCGTGGAGACCATCTAATACAGCTTGATGTGAATTCTTGATTTGCTCTTCGGTTGAGTCTGCTAGCTAGAAAGTTAATAACTTTTATATTTTTAACAAGATACTGATCTCTTCAGGGCAAATCTTATTTCACTACCTACCACCATAAATGAGGGTACACTTAACATAGCTATAATTTTATGGAATTCATCAGATTGCCTCCTTTGTTTCATTCAATTCGGGAATTTAAATTCGTTTGAAATTAGAGCAATTAGTCTATTTGACGAATGAGAAAATTAACTTAGTCGCAACTTGTCTATATTCAAGTCTTTCGTTAAGGTAGAGTTATGTTAATGACTACCTTCCGGTATCAAAGAATTTACATATCCTTGACAAAAAAAAAATGGACATGGTGTATACACCTTACATTCACTGACGAACACTTCAGAGCTTCGGCATGGTCTTTTTTCCCTTGCCAAGTGTTACTCAGTGACCGAGACAATCTGGGTTTTTGCCGCAGGCTGACCTGTAGGTATTACAGTCGTCGAAGTCAAAACAAGACTACTTTGCAAAAAGCACCATTCATTTAACGTTTCTTTAGTAGCCACGCTTCATCAGCTATTGATTCGTTAGATAATTAGTTCTAGATTATTTTATCCTCGTCTGGTATTTCTTCGGAATTAAATAT